ACAGAAAGATGTTCAAGGCCAAGCCTGCAATCCCAGCACTTTGGGAGGCCTAGGCGGTTGGATCACCTGAGGTCAGGAGTTTAAGACCAGCCTAGCTAACATGGTGAAACCCCGTCTCTACTAAAAATACAAAAATTAACCAGGCACAGTGGTGCGCATCTGTAGTCCCAGCTACTTGGGAAGCTGAGGCAGGAGAATTGCTTGAACCCAGGAGGCAGAGGTTGCAGTGAGCCAACATGGTGCCACTGCACTCCAGCCTGGGCGACAGAGGGCAACAGAGCGAGATTCCGTCTCAAAAAAAAAAAAAAAGGAACAAGAGATGTTTAATCATTAGCCATTAGGGAAAATATTAATCAAAACCACCATGGAATACCACTTTATATCCACTAACATGGCTATTATAAGATGCAAACAAAAACAAAATAAGCGTTGATGAGAATATGGAGAAATTGAAACCCTTGTGTATTACTGGTAGGAATATAAAATGGTACAGCCATTATGGAAAAATTTGGCATTTTCAAATTGTTAAACTAGAATTATCGGCCAGGCGTGGTGGCTCACACTTGTAATCCCAGCACCATGGGAGGCCGAGGTGGGCAGATCACTTGAAGTCACGAGTTCGAGATCAGCTGGCCAATATGGTGAAACTTTGTCTCTACTAAAAGTACAAAAATTGGTGCAGTGTGGTGGTGTGTGCCTGTAGTCCCAGCTACCTGGGTGACTAAGGCAGGAGAATCGCCTGAACCCATGAAACAGAGGTTGCAGTGAGCCAAGATCACGCCACTGCACTCCAGCCTGGGTGACAGAGCAAGACTCTGTCTCAAATAAAAACAATCAACAACAACAACAACAACACAAAACGAAAACATATAGAATTATGGTATGATCCAGCATTCCACTTCTGAATGTATACCTCAAAGAATTGAAAGCAGGGACACAAACAGAAACTTGTATATCAATGTTCATAACAGCATAATTCACAATAACTAAAACATGAAAACAACCCAAGTATCCATCAACAGATAATGGAGAAGCAAACTGTGGAATATACAGGCGTGGAATATTATTCAATCTTTTTTTTTTTTTTTTTTTTTGAGACGGAGTCTCCTCTCTCACTAGGCTGCAGTACAGTGGTGCAATCTTGGCTCAATGCAACCTCCTCCTCCCAGGTTCAAGTGATTCTCCTGCCTCAGCCTCCTGAGTACCTGGGATTACAGGTGGGCGCCACCACGCCCAGCTAATTTTTGTATTTTTTTTAGAAACGGGGTTTCATCATGTTGGCCAGGATGGTCTCAATCTCTTGACCTCGCAATCCGCCTGCCTTGGCCTCCCAAAGTGTTGGGATTACAGGTGTGAGGCACTGTGCCCAGCCTATTCAATCTTAAAGAAGAGGAGGCTGAGGTGGGAGGATCGCTTGAACCCAGGAGTTTGACACCAGCCTGGGAAACAAAATGAGACCCTGTCCCTACTCCCTACACAAATTTGTTTTGAAAAATTAGCTGAGCATGGTGGAACGCACCTGTAGTCCAGATACTTGGGAGGCTGAGAGTGGAGGATCCCTGGAGCCCATAAGTTTGAGGTTGCAGTGAGCTATGATCACACCACTGCACTCCAACCTGGGTGACAGAGACTGTCTCAAAACAAAAAAGAAGATACATGGTATAACATAAATGAGCCTTGAAAATACTATAAGCCAGACACAAAAGGACAAATATTACACAATTCTACTTAAATGAGGTACCTAGAATAGGTAAATTCATAGAGACAGAAAGTAGAATACAGGTTACCAAGAGCTGAGGGAGTGGGGGTCAGGGAATGAGCTGTTATTGTTTTATAGGTACAGAGTTTTAGTTCGGGATGATGAGAAAGTTCTGGAAATTGATAGTGGGGATGGTTGCACAACATTGTGAACATGGCACAACAGTGTGAAAATACTTAATGCCACTAAATTATACACTTAAAAATAGCTACAATGGGCCACACATGGTGGCTCATGCCTGTAATCCCAGCACTTTGGGAGGCTGAGGCAGGTGGACTGTTTGAGGTCAGGAGTCTGAGTCCAACCTGGGCAATATGGTGAAACCCTGTCTCTATGAACAACAACAAAAAGCTAAAATGGTAAATTATACGTTATGTTTATACACACACACACACACACACACACACACATATATTTTTGAGACGGAGTCTCACTCTATCGCCTAGGCTCGAGTGCAGTGGGTGTGATCTCGGCTCACTGCAACCTCCGCCTCCTGGGTTCAAGAGATTCTCCTGCCTCAGTCTCCGGAGTAGCTGGGATTACAGGCGCCCGCCACCACGCCCAGCTAAATTTTGTATCTTTAGTAGAGACAAACTTTCGCCACATTGGCCAGGCTGCTCTCAAACCCATGACTTCAAGTGATCCTCCAGCCTCGGCCTCCCAAAGTGCTGGGATTACAGGCGTGAGCCACTGCGCCTGGCCCTGTTATGTATATTTTTCCTCAATTTTTAAAATGTGCTAGATACCTAGGAAATAGAGTAAGACATATAATATGTAAACTTAAAATACGTGCCTATACCGGGGCCTATTATGGGGAGGGGGGCGGGGGGAGAGATGGCAATGGGAGTTATACCTGATGTAAATGACGAGTTGATGGGTGCTGATGAGTTGATGGGTGCAGCACACCAACACGGCACAAGTATACATATGTAACAAACCTGCACGTTGTGCACATGTACCCTAGAACTTAAAGTATAATAAAAAAAAAGTGCCTATAAAACAATATTTATATTGTAAGAACATACAAATAAATTATTAGAATTAATGAGAACTCAAATTCTAAAACTGACCTAACGATGCAATACAGTTTCAATCAGTATCCTAACAGTGTCATTTTATAGCAAGCTGATTCTAAATTTTATATGGAAATGCAAAAGTTCAAACATAATAACTAATATTCTTGAAAACAAGAAGAAAGCATTTGATCTATTAGGTATTAAGATATAAAATAATAATAATGTAATAAAATCATAATTAAGATGGTGCTATCAAGGCATCATAACTAAGATAATACAAGGAATGACAATTAAACTAATAGACTATAGTAACCCAGAAAAAGACCTACATGTACATAGTTTATTTACAATAAAAATGGCATTGAATAGCAGTGAAGAAATTATGATCTTTTCAATAACTAATGGTGGGACAACTTGATAGCCATTTAGAAGAAAAAGAAACTTCCTCACTACTGAACAACAACATAAATTCCAGATCTATCATCTGGAAACTAGAGTAACAAAGGTTTGAGAGGTAATATATGGGAGATGAAAAATATCTCCTTGTTTAAGAGGACAACATATGGGCAATATCTCTCAATAATGCCCATATATTATAGTGTCTTATTACACAGTACATAAAAAAAATAGGAAATACTGATTGGTTTAACCATATTAAAATTAAGACTGTTGTTTTCCTAAGTTTACCAAACCTAAGCTATTCACAACCCTTTTTCAGTCTCTACTAGTTCCCTACTTTGAAAGATCCATTTTAAACTAGTTGGACGCTTATCTCAAATCCTTATAAATACTTACTCTAACATCCCCCCTTTGATTCATTACCAAGACTCTGTGTCAAGTTGATGGTCTCCTTTGCTACGCTACAATAGGTTTAATGAGCTTTGTTGAGTCAACAGGATTCCTTAGTGACCTTTGTTGTGGGAGAGTGGACAACTGACAGTCCTTATCTTTTTGAGAAATATACTGAAATCTTAAAAAAAAAGTTGGTAGAGATGGGGTCTTGCTATGTTGCCCAGGCTGGTTTTGAACTACCAGCCTCAAGCTATCCTCCTGCCTTAGCCTCCCAAAGCGCTGGGATTAGAAGGTGTGAGTCACTGTGCCCAGTCAGTATATCGAGATTTTTTTTTCTTTTTTTTGAGATGGAGTTTCACTCTTGTCACACAGGCTAGAGTGTAATGGCACCATCTTAGCTCACTGCAACCTCTGCCCCCTGGGTTCAAGTGATTCTCCTGCCTCAGCCTCCCAAGTAGCTGGGATTACAGGTGCCCACCACCAAGGCTGGCTAATTTTTGTATTTTTAGAAGACAGAGTTTCATCACGTTGGCCAGGCTGGTCTTGAACTCCTGACCTCAGGTGATCCACCCACCTCAGCCTCCCAAAGTGCTGGGGTTACAGGTGTGAGCCACCACACCCAGCCCACCAAGATTTTTATAGATTAAATTCTAAGATCTGCTCCAAAATTAATTCAATAAGATAAAGTAGAAGTAGATAAGATTAGTCATAAATAGTTGATACTGGGTAATGATACATGGGAGTTCATTAGACTAGTCTGTCTACTTTGGTTTTATGTTTTAAATTCTCTACAATAATTTTTTAAAGTTATATTTGTTTTTGTAGTCCTGAAGAGCGGATGTTCACTAAGGTCACAGCAAAGTTGCACTATATGACTCTGATTACCTGGCTTTACCCAGAAAGCGTCTAGCCAAACCTAGCCTAAGTTATGCTGGATTCTGCAGTCTTGCTACAACAACAGAAGGAAGGGAAGGCCAGAGTGGTTGTAGACTTTAGATAAATAATTCTTTATTTTATTTATTAATATTATTTTTTGAGATAGAGTCTCGCTCTGTCGCCCAGGCTAGAGTGCAGTGGCATGATGTCAGCTCACTGCAACCTCCACCTCCCAGGTTCAAGCGATTCCCCTGCCTCAGCCTCCTGAGTAGCTGGGATTACAGGCGTGAGCCACCACGCTCAGCTAATTTTTGTGTTTTTGGTAGGGGCAGTGTTTCACCATGTTGGTCAGGCTGCTCTCGAACTCCTAACCTCAAGTGATCCACTCGCCTCAGCCTCCCAAAGTGCTGGGATTACAGGCATGAGCCACTGTACTCAGCCCAAAATAATTCTTTTTAAGACCCTTCTACAACACCCCAAATGTAGAACTGAGTTGCTATACTAAATTTGATGTTTAAATCTTGGTTAAAACAACAACAAAAAAGGGATAAAGAATATTTTCTGTGTTTTTTGCTTTATTTATTCAGAGAGTGAAACTGTGCTACAGTGAGCTAAATTTTTAGCTGTGCTTAGAATGTGCTCCCTTCTTTTTACTGTGGAAAAGTGAAGTATCTTATCATTTCTTAGAAACCTGGATGCTGAAATTAGTCAATATTAAGATATTATACACATCCTGAGTGATGCCTGATTTAAGATTTTGAATAGCTACTCATGTAAGTTGACTTTTCTGTGCATTTGTATCGGGGAGGATCCAGTTCAGGTTGATGTCCTGGGAACCAGTGAGGCTCTCGCTTAAATCCTGAGGGAACCAAAAAAGGGAAGGGAAGACAAATCAAAACAGTCAACAATAAGGAGTTTTAGAAACTGATCTTGCTCCTATTTCTAGGGAATAGACAGTAAGTCCTGTTAAAATTGAAGAAAAAAACCTGTTTACTCATTCATTTAGTTATTCACCTTTTTTTTTTTTTTTTTTGAGACGGTGTTTCACTCTGTCACCCAGGCAGGAGTGCAGTGGCTTGATTTCTGCTCACTGAAATCTCTACCTCTCAGGTTCAAGTGATTCTCCTGCCTCAGCCTCATGCGTAGCTGGAACTACAGGCATGAGCCACCACACCCAGCTAATTTTTGTATTTTTTAAGTAGAGATGGGGTATCACCATGCTGGCCAGGCTGGTCTCGAACTCCTGACCTCAAGTGATCTGCCTGCCTCAGCCTCACAACGTGCTGGGGGTTACGCGTGTGAGCCACTGCACCCAGCCTCACTTATTCACCTATTCAGTTTACTTTTATTTGAGTTCCTTCTATGTGCCAGTCACTGAGTTGGGTTCTGAAAATGTAAGAATTAGAAAAAACAGTACACGTACTATGCGTTGAAAGTGGCATTTTGTTGTTGTAGCTTGTATCATATGTTGTTTCAAAGTAGTGTCCAAACTGCAAAGAAAAATTAACAGACTAAGAATCTGGAAGTCTACAGTTAACATCAGGAAATAAAGATCAATATGACATGAATTCTCATGGATTGTCATATTTTAGATGGACTGAGGTCTATGGTGTTAGTCTATATCCGTCTAACTTTCATATCTTTTGTATGTTTGCTTGTTTAGGAGAGATTTAAGCGCAGGACTCAGATAAATGACAAGTCTAGATAGGCAAGGACCAGGGGAAAAGCTAGCCTAAGTCAGAAGATGTTATAAATTTCCATAGATGAAGAGATACAGTCCAAACAGAAGTAAGAGAAAAAGAGGACTGCCTTTCCTTTTGAAACCTTACAGATAATAAAATATTCAACTTGACAGTAAAGTGGCATAGGTGGTTCAGCTGCGGACTGTTCCTCTGTCCCAAACACTTCACTGAAAACTGAGAGATCACTGCACCGGAAGTTATTACATACCTGCATTTCAAATGGCCATTGCATTTCTTTTGCCAACAAAAGGAAACAAACAAACAAAAAAGAGAAAGTTAGAGTACCTGGGAAGGCAAGGGTTTGGGCTGCACGATATTCCTCAGGTCATATCTTTCCTGGTTCCAGTTGCCCATCAGGGTATGGTTCGAATAGGCATTCTCATTAGTGGTGCATCTCCATCCATACTGGAAAAACTTGGACATATTATTCCGATCTGTCCACACTTCACCATGGCCATCTGCATTAATGATGCTGCCACAATGTGGGTTTGTGAGGAAACAGGCGAGGTTCTGTCTCTGGGAAAAGACAAGAATAGAAAAGCTTATTGCATAAACCAGAGAAGAGAAAAAGCATTCTTTCCCGCCCTTGTTTTACATAGCCAGGTAAAACATAAGCACGCCGTACTAATGATCCAAGCTTTGTTATGGTTCTGTTTCTTCCTCTCTAAGTCCTGGAACCCTTTGATCTATTCTTTCAATCAGCAACAGCGGATGACTACATGGATTAAATCCACACCCCCGCACCCCAGGCCCCGCGAAAAGACAGGAAAAACTTCAGTATTCCCAATACAATATGGAGAATTAGCTAAATTTTTAGGTAATTTTGAGATGTAGGCATTTAGGGACTAAGGGCACTGCTACAGTCAAAGAGAACAGAAAGAAGTGAGAGTTGAGTAACTAGATAACACAATAAATGAGTAATAAATGATCATTTCCTTCCTGCTAGCTCAAGTGATGCCTTCCCTGAAGTTAGCGCCTCTTTCCTTTTATCTCACATAAAACTTTATCTTCTTATCTTTCTCTGTATTTATAACTTTGTACCATACATTAGAGTTCTTTAAGTCTGCATTATATCTCCTATACTGAGCTGTATGCCCGTTAAGGACAGGATCTGTTTTATTCATTATTGTACCCTGTCCTTCTGCCTATTCTCCCAATCAATCTGGTTTGCATATACCAGAAGATCAATGTCTGATTTCATTTTTTTTGTAAGGTAAAAGCTCAATCTTTCTTTTTTCCCCAAAATGTGAGTCTGACTCCCTGGCTTAGGAACAAGGTGATACCTTTCCTGAAGATGAGTAACTTGATGCTGAGTAGGTTGAGCCGTTTGAAGATTTCTTATGAGAGTGACAGAAATTTTTACTTGGCTGTTCCATGTTCTTTAAAGATGCAGACAAACCTGACGTTCCCAGTTCTCCAAGCAAAGAAAGATTCACCCAGATTACCATGGGCAAGTGGCCATGATTTGGAAATCACCACCCACTTGCCTTTCCACAGGCAGAAACAAAGCCAGTAACGCATCATTGAAGGATGACATCCCAGGTAACTACCCTCATACCATCTGCCTTTGTGAAGACAGGTGCATGCACTGATGTTACCAAACAACATGATGACCAGAGTAGCTGGTCCCATGAAGTCCAACGGGCCTGGTATTCACACTGGAGATCTAGGTGTAACTGTCTCTAGGGCTGGAATAACAGACATCCCATCCACTCAGTTGTTCAATCCAGAAGCCTGGGGCTTATCTTTGACTCTGACTTGCCTTTAATATTCATCCAGTGACTAGGTCTTGTTGATTTTTGCATCAGACCACTACCCTCCATTCCCAATGCCAAATTTCAATTCAAATCACTGTCAGCTTTGTCTCCATTATTGCAGCTGCCTCTTGTCTTATCCTGCCATCAGCCTTGTTGCTCTCCAAACCTTTCTCCACAGGATAGCAGAATTTTTCAAAATGAAAGTATAATTGTATCATCTTCTCATTTAAAATCTTTCAGTGGTTTTCAACTATTTTCAGAGTAAGGTTCAGCCTGTTAAAATGGCTTACAACAGAACAGAGAACCAAATACAGCATGTTCTTGTTACCAGAAGGGGTCCTGATTCAGACCCCAAGAGACACAAGAAAGAACTTAAGGTGAGTCTATAAAGCATAAGGAAGTTTATTAAGAAAGTAAAGGAATAAAGAATGGCTACTCCATATGCAGAGCAGCCCTGAGGGCAGCCGGTTGCCCATTTTTAAGATTGTTGATTATACGCTAAACAAGGAGTGGATTAATTCATACCTCCCCTTTTTAGACCATATAGGGTAACTTCCTGATGTTTCCATGGCATTTTTAAACTGGCATGGCACTGGTGGGAGTGCAGCAGTGAGGATGAACAGAGGTCAGTCTCATCGCCATCTTGGTTTTGGTGGAATTTAGCTGGCTTCTTTACCTGTTTTATCAGCAAGGTATAGTTTATGACCTGTATCTTGTGCTGAGTATCTCATCCTGTGACTAAGAATGCCTTAACTTACTGGGAACGCAGCCCAGGTCTTAGCCTTATTTACCTAGCCCCTATTCAAGATGGAGTTGCTCTGTTATAAATACCTCTGACAATCTCACTTATAAGTGGGACCTAAACATGGAAACAACAGATGCTGCAGACTACTAACTAGAGTGGGGAGGGGGGTGTTGTGGGTTGAAAAACTATTAGGTGCCATATACCCATATAACAAACCTGCATCCTACCTGGGTGCAATATATCCACGTAACAAACTTGTACATGTACCCCCATATATAAATAAAAGTTGATTTTTTTTAAAAGGCTTACAACGCTCCCTGTGACCTGGCCCCTGCCTAACTCTTCAGTCTCATCTGTTACTCTCCCTCCAAATGTGTTTCAGCCCAATTCAACTATTTTGTTTCTCCATCAAGCTTTTGCATATATTGCTCTTTCTGCCTCTTCACGCCTCTTAACCCAGTTAGGATGTACTTTTACCCTCTTAGCTTTCAACCCGGGTTCACTTCATCCAAGGACTCTGACCCACTTCGCCCAAAAACTTGGTAACGTTCTCCTTCTGTGTGCTCCCATTGCACACTGAATCACTCCACGCATAGCACACACCCTGCCATATCAGAGTTGCCACTTTTGCTCTGTGCATTCCCCACCAGACTGCAGGCTCATTGAAATCATAGGCCACATCTTGTTCATCCATATATCGTAACCACTCTCACAGTGGCCTGGCACGCAATAGACCTCAGTAATCTTTCTTGAATGGATAGAAAATAGGAGATTTAAGCACCTGGAGGAGAAATTTTGAGCAGCAGAGACACTGGGAGGCAGCCATTTCGGACGAGGTGAAAAAAGTTTCAAAACCTGCGTCAAGAGCATGCGAGACACAGTCCAATCTCTCCTTGGCCTCAGCCCCGCCCCGTTTCTTTCACTCAGAACTCGCCTCACCCCTGTGACTGCTTGTGACCTCATGCAGGTGTGATGAAGTCGCTCAAGGCCATGCTTGGGCTAAAGGCACTATGATCTTCCTGAGGGGCTGAAAGGGCGAGGGGACAGGAAAGTGGGCGTCTTGCTTTTGCATTCATAGTTATTATCCTCCCAAGGAGTCGGTGCACCCGTTCGTCTAGACAACAGGGCGCCAAGGGTGCCTCATCAACTAGCGACGAGTGAAGAGGGGGCGGGCAGAGATCCGCGAAGGAAGTGACGTAAAACGAGCGCCACAGAGAACGCGAGCCGGGAGTCCGTGGAGGCCATGGCCCCTCGGCGCCTCCTGTTGGTTGGGGAGGGGAATTTCTCCTTCGCCGCCGCTCTGAGCGAAACCCTGGATCAGAACACTCGTCTTACCGCCACCTGCCTCCAGCGCCCGGCCGAGTTGACCCGGGATCCAGTGGCCCGGGAGAATCTGCGGTACCTGCGCGAGCGAGGTAGCGAGCCCGCCCCTCTGCGAAGCCCCGCCCAGCGGCTGGCGCGTCCCAAAGTGGAAAGGGTGGGGGCGTGGGGATGTAACCCACGTGGAGACTGTTCTTGATCGTCCCACGGATATTCACATAAAGCCGGCTTTGTGCCCAGACTTGGGCTGGTCTGCACGGTGTAAGTTAGGAAGACTTTTTCTGTTCCATGTCTTAAGGCGTCCTCCTATCTCTATTTTGCGCCCCTAAACTATCTTTGCCAGGTATTGATGTACGTTTCGGTGTGGACTGCACCCAGCTGACAGATGTCTTTGAACTGCACGACAGAGAATTTAATCAAATTTATTTCAACTTTCCGCATTGTGGACGCAAAGCTGGCGTAGCTAAGAACAGGGAACTGCTTGCCAAGTTTTTCCAAAGGTGAGGAAAGGAGTGCCCTCACAAGGAAAATGTTTAAGATGTCCATAACATAGTTACTGTACCCAAACATAAGGCACACGTGCAAGCTACTATATGTTTAGAAGAGAATATAAAACCTCAAAGGAACCCCCAATTTAGTTGGAAAAATATATATAAATCCTAAATGCTAAATGAAAGTACAAATAGTGTACTCTTGGGTGTGTAAAAGAGGATCATTTATTTTTGACAGTGCAAAATAATGAGAGCCATATAGTCTAATGGCTAAGAACGTTCACTTAGAAGCCGGACTGCCTGGATTCAAATCCCAGCGCACCACTTAACAGTTGTTATTTTTTTATTTTTATTTTTTTTGAGACAGAGTCTCACCCTGTCGCCCAGGCGGGAGTGCAGTGGCGCAATCTCGGCTCACTGCAAGCTCCGCCCCCATTCTCCTGCCTTAGCCTCCCAAGTAGCTGGGAGTGTAGGCGCCCGCCACCACGCCCGGCTAATTTTTTGTATTTTTAGTAGAGACGGGGTTTCACCGTGGTAGCCAGGATGCTCTAGATCTCCTGACCTCGTGATCCGCCCTCCTCGGCCTCCCAAAGTGCTGGGATTACAGGCATGAGCCACCACGCCTGGCCAACAGTTGTTATTTTAAGCAAGCTTACTGAATCTTTACATGCTTCCGTGTTCTCAAGTGTAAACTAGGGATATTAATAGTAACTAATTGGGCCAGGCGCGGTGGCTCACGCCTGTAATCCCAGCAGTTTGGGAGGCAGAGGTCAGCAGATCACCTGAGGTCAAGAGATCGAGACCATCCTGGCTACCATGGTGAAACCCGTCTCCACTAAAAATACAAAAAATTAGCCAGGTATGGCGGCATGCGCCTGTAATCACGGCTAGTTGGGAGGCTGAGGCAGGAGAATCACTTGAACTTGGGAAGTGGAGGTTGCAGTGAGCTGAGATTGTGCCACTGCACTCCAGCCTGGGCAACAGAGCAAGACTCCATCTCAAAAAAAAAAAAAGTAACAGCCTCATGAAATTATTGTGAACTGAAAACAATGCTCTACATGATTATACCACAAGTCATGATACTATTGCAGGTGTCCGAGGGGGCACAGCTGTCAATAAACTTTTGACAAGCAATATTTTAAACTAGTATTTGAATTTCAGGAGGGCAATGAAAAGAACTTTCTAAATGGGAAGAAACAGCCTAAACAGTGAATCATATATAGAAACTGTGCAGATATTGACCTTTCTGTGACATATGCATGAACAACACAAATACAAAGCAGACCCTGGTCAACCAATAGTATCAGTTAGTGGGTTGAACATTTAATTTACATTTGTATTTACTTCCAGCTACTTTCTTTGCATTTTTTGAGGTCTAATAGATTTTTGCACATAGGTATGATTGGATTTTAATTATTTCACAGGCAAACCATGTGTATGTTGCCAACTCCTGTGGTAATTTCCACTTGTTTATGATAATTAGTTAGTGTTTCTTTTCTCCCTATTAGCTGTGCAGACGTTCTTGCAGAGGAAGGAGAAGTCCACGTGGCATTATGTAGAGGACAAGGTGGAACTCCTGCGGATAAGCCCCAGAGAGAATGGCACAACAGTTGGCAAGTGGTTGCCATGGCAGCCCTGGGGGGACTCATTTTAAGTGATGTATATCCATTCAGCTGTAAGGCTGTGCCAGGGTACAAGTGCACTGGATATAGGTAGGTAATAGCATAGGTCTAAGCCTTCTGCTTTTTCATCTCTCTCACTAATGATAACAAAATCTCATAAACAGACTCATAGACCCTGCCAATTAACTGATTCAGTCTGTAAAAATACTTGCTTATTTTAATAATGACAGATTTCATATTGGTGTCTATTTTGCCAGGAGTCAAGATAAGTCCTTTCATGTAGAAGGTGCTTTGAACCATGTCTTCACCAGGAGCTTACCTTTCGAAGTTTCTCAACCCAGAATCTTCAGGATCAAAGTGGGTAACCAGTGGTTTTCCTTTCCAGAACCAGAAGCACTTGTAGGAAAGTTGAACAGGTAACCAGTTATTTTGCTGGAAATCACTTCCATCTCCAGTTGTATCCTGATTGTCTTGATGGCAACCATATATTGAATGGATGGTACATAAATTGTTAGTGATGTGGGTGCTATGTTTATTTGTCAGCCTGGCCTCCTTAAGCGTCTCTAGAATTAAAAATGGTCACATTTTCTGATATATTGCAGGGATGGTGGCTGTCAGAGTTCTGAAATACACCTGTTTCTCCTTATGGTAGATGATTTCTTTGTTTCCTTTCAAGATCAATTTAAGGGTAATTCTTTTCTGTCCAGCTATTTGTATTTTTAATTCTAGCTACATTATAATTATTTACTATCTTAAGTTAGAAAAGTTATTTTTGTGTATGTTTAAACAGGGGTTTCCTGGAAGCACCTTCATGTCATCCTATCAAAACCATAAATGAGAAACTCATTGCTGAATTAGGCAAAGCTTTCCCTCTAAAAAGGCTGAAATGTTCCTTCCCTTTGCTGCCACAGGAAGATGCCAGTGTTCTTCCTTTCTGGAATTGTGACTTTCTATCAGCTGCTTTTTGGATTAGTCTCCATGAGGATAACTCAAATTCTGAGTCCCTGACTGGTGGGACATTACAAGATGTGGAAGACTTTCTAGTGTCATTTTCAGAACTTAGCCTTCCCAAGAACCCTGGAAGAGACGGTAAAGAAGCTTGTGAAGGAACCTATGGCCAGGCCAAGGTCTGCCTTAGACCTTCTCTCCTAGTGCATGTTCAGGATGTCATTGAAGTACCAGACTTCCTCTCAGGTTCTCTGCACATCCTCAGTGGACCTGTCTTTCAGAAGTGCCACATTCTGCCTTTCACAATGCCAGCATTTCATGAGACTTTATTTATCCTTGGGTTTAACCAAAATCTGAAGGATGGCTGTCTTCAATCACTGCTGGATCATCTGAAGGGCATTCTAGATAGCCTGCTAACCCAGACATTGCTGGAGAGCTCTAAGCTGAGCAGTTTAGTCGAATTTGTCCTTCAATCAAATGGAAAGGATTATATGATTCGTGTGAAGACTCACAATTTTAGCCCAGATTGTACTGAGGATCTAATTATTGGGTCTGTTACCACATCTGCCACTAGTGTTATACATAAAGACCAGTGTTTTGTGTTTGTGTCTATGAACTTGGACTTACTAGCCATGCTTGTCTGGTGTATCTCTGACTGGAGAATGTTGTGGACTTTTGATAACCGTTTCCTGAAAAATTTTGTCCCTGGGAAAATAGAACCCTTCAAAAGTCATTCTCTGTATCCTCCATGTTATGTGCATGATATTAGTTTTTGGATAGATGAGAAGAAAGGATTTGATGAACTAGAGTTTCACACTGTGGCCCGAGCGGTGTCCCAGGACACTGTTATATCCATACAGTTTCTTAGCCGTTTTCAACATCCAAAGACTCAACAGGTCAGTCTCTGCTATAGATTGACCTACCAGACCTGTGACAAGGCCCTCACCCAGCAGCAAGTAGCATCAATGCAGTCCCAGTTTAGGAAGGAGATTCAACAACGCCTATATGTTATACCTCGGTAGTTTAGTAAATCCTTTTTTGCAGTGTGATCCTTCATTGCGGGGGATGTGGAGGAAAATAACCAACTTGTAACCAGTAGTCCTTTCTGGATTTTTTTTTTTTGTAAAATCTTTCACTTTGTGACCATAGCTACTGTTTGTTGATCTTTTTTTTTTTTGAGACAGAGTCTTGCTGTGTCGCCCAGGCGGGAGTGCAGTGGCAGTGGCGCGATCTCGGCTCACTACAGGCTCCACCTCCCGGGTTCATGCCATTCTCCTGCCTCAGCCTCCTGAGTAGCTGGGACTATAGGTGCCTGCCACCACGCTGGTTAATTTTTTTGTTGTTGTTGTATTTTTAGTAGAGAAGGGGTTTCACCATGTTAGCCAGGATGGTCTTGATCTCTTGGCCTCGTGATCCGCCCACCTCGGCCTCCCAAAGTGCTGGGATTATAGGTGTGAGCCACCGTGCCCGGCCTACTGTTGGTTGATCTTAAAAGATACCTTGACTCTATCACTGAAACTTACAGATTATAATGTGATTGGTGACATTTGGAGTTGTGTAATATTTTGGTCCTGAGAAGTGACTAAAACAATAAACAAAACAGCATATTGTACTTTAGATGCTCTATTGCTGAAGAGGCAGTAGAACTTAGGTGTCTCATCAAATATAAGTATGTTTTCCACACTGTCAATTACTCTTCCCTTAACTTTGTTGTATCATTTCATTAAATCACCTTATGAGAGTAGTTTTTGGAGTCAGACTAACATGTATTAGCTTGGTAAGTTGCAAATATTCCACATTAGTTTTGGTATTATTATTATCATCATCAACATTTTAATTCTGTGGTTGAAAGCTGTAGAACTAATAAAGTGCCAGATTTGGGGGGTTAACATTTGGGTCTGTTTGACTCTAAAGCCCATGTTCTTTCTGCCACTTTCTGTTACTTCTTCCCTAGTCTTTAACAGTAATTCAACTGTGATTAAACTTTGCCTCTCTAGATTTTGGGGCCTTCTATTGTAAGTATCTCTAAGGGACACTGGAAAATTAACTTAGCCTAGGATTCTGCAGAATGCAGTATTCTAATGTGAAGTAATGTATGTTCCTGTTAATAGTTAGACTCCACATTTGGGATTATATTCTGTGAGGGACATGACTGTCTTATTTATTCTTGGAGAAAAGCATTTGGGAAGGCAAGAATGGAAGAACAGAGACAAATTAGGAGGTTATTGCAGTAATGCAAATGAGATAATGATGACCTGGACCAAGGTGGTAAAATGTTGGGTTGGATAATATTTGGAAGGACTTGCTGATGAATTAAACGTTCGTGTGTGGGTGAGAGAGGTTTGGGGTTAGAGAAATAAAGGGATTAAGTAGGACTCCTAGGTTTTTGACCTGAATACTTAGAAGACTGGAAGTGTCATTAACTGGGATGGAAACACTGCCATAGGAGTAAGTTTGGGGAGTGGGATAAAGAATCAAGGGATCTCTTATGGACGCATCTATTGCTGAGCTCTCCACATAGACTATTTTGCTAATTGATGGCAGGTAATGTGATTTATCCCTTTCTTCTATCGTCAATAGTGCTTGGTACGTGGATGAGGTAGTGTTTGAGCTGGATCTTAAAAAAGGTTAGGGGCCGGGCGCAGTGGCTCACGCCTGTAATCCCAGCACTTTGGGAGGCCGAGACGGGCGGATCACGAGGTCAGGAGATCGAGACCATCCTGGCTAACAGGGTGAAACCCCGTCTCTACTAAAAAAAAATACAAAAAACTAGCCGGGCGTGGTGGCGGGCGCCTATAGTCCCAGCTACTCGGGAGGCTGAGGTAGGAGAATGGCGTGAACCCGGGAGGCGGAGCTTGCAGTGAGCTGAGATCCGGCCACTGTACTGGTTCTCCATGGACTATCACTGTTTGGGGGACAAAAAAAAAAAAAAAAAAAAAAAAAGGTTAGGAATGTGAAGGGAGAATTATTAGTCAAGTAGGGTGTGCATTTCAGGCAGAGGACATCCGTGAACAGAGATACAGATAAGGGAGCATTTGGGGGCACTTTCTAGGCTAGTTAGCTGGAATGTAAAGTGTGCATAGGAAAGTAGTGGGTTTCTACTACTAAGTAGGTTTGTACTAAGGTTTGTACTTAGGTTTGTACTAAGTTTAAAAAGGATAAAATACGTAAAACGCCTACCACAATGCCGTAGTAGCGATGACAGTGATGGACGTCTGGTTCAGTTTGCCGCACAGAATTTCATCAGTCTACATTCTGCCATTACCGGTTTGTGTCTCTGAAGCAGTTTTTAGCTACAGGCTGTCTCTGACACTCTCACTAAAATACAAAGAAGGCAAAGTGTTAAAAATGACATTTTAAGGACCTTAAGTAGATAGCTGCGCTATGATATTTAACTGAATACTTCACATCTTACTATGTAGATTCCTTTAATCACTTTCTGTTTTTTCATTTAAATAGGGGAGCTGAGAGGTTTTTTTTGTTTGTTTGTTTTGTTTTGTTTTTTTTTGAGAATGGAGAATGCTGAAAAGTGACGGAAAATAGGGTTGGAGGGAGGTAGGAATGGCCAGAATTAGAAGCAGGTGGATGGGACAGCCCTGATGAAGAAACTCAAGGCTCAGGTTCTATTTCTTCGCTACTCGGGGATCTGCCCCAATTGGCCCAGTAACACTATAATTTAGTCTTTTCTGCGCATGTCAAGATCTTTTGTCCCTCGGCGGACACCGTTTGCCAGCCAAAGCTATGTCGCGCTCACCGACTTCATAGGGTTCCGAATTCTGTCTTTTTTCCCCAAGCTTGCCATGGCTAGTCGAGGGGCTCGGCAGCGCGTGAAGGGCAGCGGGGGCAGCAGTGGGGATACGGCCCCCGCTGCGGACAAGCTGCGGGAGCTGCTGGGCAGCCGAGAGGCGGGCGGCGCGGAGCACAGGACCGAGTACGTGTGCGGCGCGGCAGGGGCGTGGCCGGCCGGCCGGCGGCGCGGTTCGGGGCTGCCCCCGGGAGGGTCTTAGCAGTGGCGCGCGGGGCTCCGACAGGCCTGGCCTCCCCGCCGGAGGCCTGAGCTCCCTCTTCAGCTAGGTCATATTGCTCTTCCTGGGCGGGTCAGCATTCAGTCTTCGCCCACGTTAGATCCCTCCACTGCGGGTTCCCCTCTCTTGTAAAACCGCCTTGGAGTGCGGATCTATGATGCTCTCGGGCCAGGCCTAGAGTGGGCATAGCTACTGTGGGAGATGTTGACAGGATCAAAGAGTATACCTTTTACGGTTGTTCCTCACAGCTCCTTTTATTCTGCCTCAAGTCCCGACCCTTTACTGGGCCCATCCAACCCACCACCACCTCTTCCCAAACCCGGGAGGCTGCAGGTTAGAACTGCATTAAGGGAGCTGTCAACATATGGAATTGGAGGAGGCTATGTACCTAGCATCTAGGTTTCTATCTGAACATAAGGGTGAATGAATAAAGCCATGAAAAGCAATGACCTTGTTAAGAAAAGAAAGAAAAGGAGAATGACAGCTTTGTGGCCTTCAGATGAGTGATTAGTTGATTTGGGATAAATGGAGTGTCATAAATGCATTGAGCTAAAGTGTATGAGTTAATTTATGCCTTAAAAGCAGGAAGTGGAAGGAGTGATTGAGATTAAAGTCAATTCTTCAGAAGGCCGAGGCAGGAGGATTACTTGAGCCGAGGAGTTTAAGTCCAGCCTGAGCAACATAGCAAGACCCTATCATAAAATTTTTTTCTTAAAAATCTGAATTCTTTATTCATTTTACTGAGAGAGAACAACTAGCCATTCACCTTTTTAGGTGAATAACTTAAGTGCTTTGATGTCTCTTTTTCTTTTTGTCCTTTCTTTCTAGATTTAGGTCTTCTGATTAGCAGGTCCTTCCTGACATGCTTTTTTTTTTTTTTTTTTTGCTTTTGAGCAGGTTATCTGGGAACAAAGCAGGACAAGTCTGGGCACCTGAAGGATCTACTGCTTTCAAGTGTCTGCTTTCAGCAAGGTTATGTGCTGCTCTCCTGAGCAACATCTCTGACTGTGATGAAACATTCAACTATTGGGAGCCAGTAGGTGATTTCTTTAGTTTTCTCTTTTTGTTCTTGATTTTGCAGCATAGGTGTTATTACGAATCGAGAGACAAATAATATACAAGTGTCACTCCTAGTAAAATAGATGTATTTGCTTTTAAAAAAAAAAAAAAACAACAACAACAACAAAAAAACAGGCCTGGCACGGTGGCTAACGCCTGTAATCCCAGTACTTTGGGAGGCCGAGGCTGGTGAATTATCTGAGATCGGGAGTTTGAGACCAACCTGACCAACATTGTGAAACCCTATCTCTACTGAAAATACAGAAATTAGCTGGGTGTGGTAGTGGGCACCTGTAGTCCCAGCTACTCGGGAGGCTGAGGCAGGAGAAACGCTTGATTATGGGAGGCGGAGTTTACAGTGAGCTGAAAGCACACCGTTTGTTGCACTCCAGCCTGGGCGACAGAGCGAGACTCCGTCTCAGAAAAAAAAAAAAAAAAACAGAAATGGGGACTCATTATGTCACTGAGGCTGATATCGAACTCCTAGGCTCAAGCTATCCTCTTGCCTCGCTTCCAAAGTATTGGGATTACAGGCGTGAGCCACTGGGCCTGGCCAGTAACATGTTTTCACTTTTGTATTCTAAGCAGATGATTTACCTGCTATTGAAGGCTGTAGGGAATTTAGCTGGTTTACACCAAGGTCTAATTTGTAATTTTCTTTTTTTTTTTTTAAATGAAAATAATACCTGGAGATAGTTTTTAAAGTTAACAAATACTAAAATACCTAAAGGAAAAACAGTAGCTTTCTATTCCACTTCTCATGTCCAAATCCTACTTTCCAGAGGCAACCACTTATTTTCACTTTCTTTTTTTTTTTTTTTTTGAGATGGAGTCTCGCTCCACCACCCAGGCTGGAGTGCAGTGGCCGGATCTTGGCTCACTGCAAGCTTCGCCTCCCGGGTTCACGCCATTTTCCTGCCTCAGCCTCCCGAGTAGCTGGGACTGCAGGCGCCCGCCACCTCGCCCGGCTAGTTTCTTTGTATTGTTTTAGTAGAGACAGGGTTTCACCGTGTTAGCCAGGATGGTCTTGATCTCCTGACCTCGTGATCCGCCCGTCTTGGCCTTCCAAAGTGCTGGGATTACAGGCTTGAGCCACCATGCCCGGCCTTTTTTTCACTTTTTAAGTTATGTCTTATGGTTACCAAAATAGTGTTACTAAATAGTATGCTTTTATTGCTATTTCTTGATTTACATATTACCTGTTGACTTCTATTATAGAAAATTCAAAAGTAAAATTTTCTGATCACATTTTGAATTAAAAAAATGAAGGAAGAATGTTAAGTGTAGGTTGTTTAAGGAAAATACATAATTTAGAGGTTTTCTGTTTTGGGTAACGAGTGTTGAGAAAAAATAAGTAGAAGGTAAAATTCAAGCTTTCAGTGTTGACCAAACAGCAATCTTGTAAAATGTATAATGTCTTAATATTTAAAATATTATATCATTTTGATTCCTTTTTTATCCATCAATTGCAAATCGCCTAGGCTGGAGTGCAGTGGCATGATCTGGGTTCGCTGCAACCTCTGCCTCCTGGGCTCAACTGATTCTCCTGCCTCAGCCTCCCAAGTAGCTGGGACTACAGGCATGCACCACCATACCATGCTAATATATTTATATATTTTTTTTGTAAATATGAGGTTTTGCCATGTTGCCCAGGCTGGTCTTTAACTATGGGGCTCAAGCAACCTGCCTGGCTTGCCCTCCCAAAGTGCTGGGGTTATAAGTGTGAGGCACCGTGCCTGGCCTGCCTTTGTCTTTAATATTTCTGCTCAGAAACTTCACTTGCATCTGCTTAACAGAGATTTTTGGCCAATATAACCCTGAATCTGTCTGTTTTGTATTTTTAGACACACTACCTCATCTATGGGGAAGGGTTTCAGACTTGGGAATATTCCCCAGCATATGCCATTCGCTCCTATGCTTACCTATTGCTTCATGCCTGGCCAGCTGCATTTCATGCAAGAATTCTACAAACTAATAAGGTAAGGGCAGACCAACCTGGAAGCAATCACAATTGATCAAGAGGTGAGTCTCTGGTATAGTTTTGAGAAAAGGACAAAATAGATTGGAAGTTAAAAGGGAACTTTTTTTGAAGAAGAATCATTTATTCACCATTCAACAAGCATTAATGGAACAACTTTTATTTGGTAGACACTGTATTAAGGCTGTGGCTATAACAATAACCAAGCCCCTGACTTAATGAAACTTGTGGTTTAGTGGAGAAGATGAACGTTGAACAAATCATTCTAAATATGATGGGTCTTATGGAGGAAAAGTACAATGTACAATGGAATAGCATATTAGGAGGGTCTAATTTAAGTAGAGTGCTGAGAAACATTTAGGTGTTAACTGGGACCTAACCTGATTAGTTTTCAGAAATTTGACTATGATGCGTCTTGGTGTGGATTTCTTTGGGTTTGTCCTGTTTGGAGTTTATTCAGCTTCTTGAATCTTTAGGCTTATTCCTTTTGCCAAATTTGGAAAGGTTTTAGTTTTTATTGTTTTGAATACTTTTTCAGCCCTGTTCTTTTTCCTTTTCTTTTTCAGAACTTTGATGATGTGAATGTCAGATCTTTTGTTATTAGTCCCCCAGGTCTCTGAGACTCTGTTTTCAATTTATTTTCTCTCTGTTGTTCACATTGAGTAATTTCCGTTCTTCTGTCTTCCACTTCACTGATTCTTTCCTCTGTCCCCTCTTCCAATGTGGACCCTATCCATTGCATTTTTAGTTTGTTCTATGTATTTTTTCAGTTTTAAAATTTCCATTCGGTTTTTCTTTCTATCTTCTAATTTTTTTTACTGAGACTTTCTCCTTTTCATTTGCTTCAAGCATATTCTTAATTGTTCACTGAAATATTTTTACGAAGCCTGCTTTAAATTTTGTCAGATAATTCTAACACCTCTGTCACCTTGGTGTTGGAATCTGTCGATGGACTCTTTTCATTCAGTTTGAGATCTTCCTGGGTCTTGGTATGACAGGTCATTTTCAGTTGAAAGCTGGACATTTTAGGTGTTGCATGATGAGATTCTGGATTATTCATGGGCTCAGCACGCTTTCTTTGCAGTTTTGTGCTCCTTGGATCTTATTTAAGCCTTCTGTTTCAGCTGGCTTCTTTTGATACTACTTCCCACTAACCCAGCAGGAAAAGAGCATTAGTGGGACGTTTCTACCTTGTTACTGCCAAGTGGAGGTAGAACTTGAGGTTCCCTACCAGGCCTCCACTGACATCTGAGGAAGGGGGTCCTTTTTGTTATTGGTGGGCGAGAGTAGGAGGTCTCACTCCCTACTAGGCCTTCACTGATACCACCTTACAGGTAGAGTCCAAGCATCTTGACAGATTGAAGTTGGGTGTATGGAAGTCCAGGCTCCTAAAGTGGTTGCCACTGACACCATGATGAAGGAGAGGCTCATTACTACCAGTGGGGATGGAAGTCCTGGCTTCCTACCTGACCTCTGATGCATGGGTAGGAGTGGGTATTTCTCCAGGGTATTTGTCCTGAATGGAGTAGTTACTGTCTAAAAGTTTTTGTCATGCGAGGCTACCTTTTCTTTGGTCCTTTGGCTACACAGCAGACCTTGGTTGGGTTGTTTTTGTCTTCTGTGCCCATTGGCATTTTCAGTTGCCAGCTTTTCATGCCTAGAATACACCAAGCAAAAAGAAAACCCATGGAATTTACCACTGTGTTGTTTCTCATGTCCTGAAGTCTGTAGCCAGCCTGCTTTCTTCTCTCCACCTTCAGAGTCTTCTTAGGTTGGTTTTAAATAGATTGTCCAGAGTTTCTGGTGGTTTTTTTGGTTGTTATAAATAGAGTGTCCAGGAATAGGGGAAAAGTCCATTTTCCATGAAGCAGAAGTCCCTAACTAGAGAACTGAAGGATAAGTGGGAGTTGTCTAGGTAAGGGAAAAGTGGGGATGCGGGAGAAAGTTGGGAATAGTCTTCTAGACTGATGGCCCTGAGGCTGGGAAGAAGGACAGCGTGGCTTTCTTGTATAAACAGGTTTGACACTTGGAAGAGGGAATGGTGGAATAGATTAGATGAGACGAGAATTAAGAAGACACCAGATTTCTACAAGACCTGGTAGGATCTATTAAGGTATCAGACTGTTGTTCTTCTTCCCACAAGTCTGTTGTGTGAAGCCACTGAAAGGTTTTCAGACCAAAGAGAGGTATGATTGCATTTGCATTTTAGAATGTTCAGAAAGGTAGCACCTGCAGAAAGTGACAAAAATACTATCCCTCCCTTCCATATCCAGTATCTCATTTCTGTTGTTTTTTTTTTTTTTTTTTTTTGAGATGGAGTCTCGCTCTGCCGCCCAGGTTGGAGTGCCGTGGCCGGATCTCAGCTCACTGCAAGCTCCGCCTCCTGGGTTCACGCCATTCTCCGGCCTCAGCCTCCCGGAGGCTGGGACTACAGGCGCCCGCCACCTCGCCCGGCTAGTTTTTTGTATTTTTTAGTAGAGACGGGGTTTCACCGTGTTAGCCAGGATGGTCTCGATCTCCTGACCTCGTGATCCGCCTGTCTCGGCCTCCCAAAGTGCTGGGATTACAGGCTTGAGCCACCGCGCCCGGCCTGTTTTTTTTTTTTAAATGAAGTCTCACTCTGTCGACCAGGCTGGAGTGCAGTGGTGCGATCTCAGGTCACAGCAACCTCCATTTCCCAGATTCAAGTGATTATCCTGCCTCAGCCTCCTGAGTGACTGGGATTACAAGCTTGAGCCACCATGTCTGGATAATTTTTTTGTATTTTTAGTAGAGACAGGGTTTCACCATCTTGGCCAGTTTGGTCTCAACCTCCTGATCTCAAGTGATCCGCCTGCCTTGGCCTCCCTAAGTGCTGGGATTATGGGTGAGAGCCACTGCACCTGGCCTCATTTCTGGTTTTTTTTTTGTTTTTTTTTTTTTTGAACTTGTCAAAGGGAAGATAATAAAGGGTGAAGGGCTCAGTAGAAAACTAACAATGTGCTATGCAGAGGGTTGTCATTTCCACTTGGATATCTACTATCACTTCAAATTTTACATGTTCAACACAGAATTCTTCCTCTTCTCTAATCCTGTTACATCACTGATGTGCACAGCAAGTGAAATGGAAAGCAAGATTTCTCTTCTTCTCTTGTTCTGACTTCCGATCTCCTTTTTCCCAGCCACCTGGCAAAGGGGAATTGTAGCTTAGAGAGTCTTAGCCCCAGCATCATAACGCTGAGTACAGAAGGATGGTTGTTTCTGAGAGATAGTGTGGTAACAATTGGCACCTCTAGTAATAACTACCTTCTCAATCTCTTGCTACCCCAAATGAAAGCACCTTTGTATTGTCTCTTCATGGACTTGTTTGTGAATTTCTCTGAAGTGTACACTCAGGAGTGAGATCCCACACATAGACCCATGGGCTTACTGAATCTCAGAGTTCTGCCAGATTGCTCTCCAGATGGCTGTACAACTTTATGTTCTCTGCAGCAGTACTCCAGGCTCCATCTTCCTCTCCTGAGCCTTTCTCATGTATGTGAGATGCTTCTCATTTTAATTGAATTTCTGTGATTATTAGTGAAGAGGAGCATTTCTTCATACATTTATTACTCATTTAGAGCTTCCTTTCTGTGAATTACACATTCACATCCTTTGCCTATTTTTCTGCTGGGTTTTCTATTTTATTCTTCCAATTTGTAGACATTCTCAATAGTAACCCCCTATAGGTTTTAGATATTGCATATATTTTCTCTTACCTTTATTACCTTTGTCTGTGGTCCTTTGTTGAACAGTAATCTTTAATTCAATATGATCAAACCAATCCATTGTCTCTTGTGATTGGTGGATTTTGGGTCTTTGTAAAAGAAATCCTCCTTCACCACAGGTCATAGAGATATTCTTCTGTATTTTCTTCAATTTGCTTTTGTTTTTTTTTTTTTGAGATGGAGTCTCGCTCTGTCACCCACTGGAGTGCAGTGGTGCGATCTCGGCTTACTTCAGCCCCTTCTTAGGTTCAAGCGATTCTCCTGCCTCAGCCTCCCCAGTAGCTGGGACTACAAGCATGTGCCACCATGCCCAGCTAATTTGTGTATTTTTGGTAGAGATGGGGTTTTGCCATGTTAGCTGGTCTGGTCTCAAACTCCTGAACTCAGGTGATCCACCCACCTCGGCCTCCCAAAATGCTAGGATTCAATTAGCTTTTAATTTTATCTTTTACATATAAGGCTTTAATCATTTGAAGTTTATTTTTATAAGTTGTGGAAAGATCCAGCTTTATTTTTTGCTATATGGTGAACTGGATTTTCTAGAACCATCTACCAAATAACCCACCTTTTTTCTTCTGATTTGTAATACCACCTCTATCATTCACCTCATTCCCATATGTATATGGGTTCTTTCTGTTGTCTATTCTTTGTCATTGGTCAGTTTATTACCATATTGCTTTTATTATTATGGCTTTGTAATGTATGTCAGTATTTGGTGAATGAATTTCTTACATTGTCCTTTTTAAAATTTGTATTTTAAAAATCATTTTAGAATCAGTTTGCCCCTCACCCAAATTCTGCTAGGTTTTGATTAGAGTTGTACTAAATTTACCTATTATTTTGAGAATGAATTATTTTATTTTATTTTATTTTTTTGAGACAGGGCCTTGCTCTTCTTCCCAGGCTGGAGTGCAGTGGTGCAGTAATAACTTTTTTTTTGAGTTTGAGGTGCAGCCTCAAACTCCTGGGCTCAAGGAATCCTTCTGCTTCAGCCTCTGGAGTAGTTAGGACCGCAGGTACATGCCACCATATCCAGCTAATTTTTAATTTTTTGTAGACTTGGAGCCTCGCTATATTGTCCATGCTGGTCTTCAATTCCTGGCCTGAAGCACATGCCTTGCCCCAGCCTCCCAAAGGGTTGGGATTACAGGCAAGTGCCACTGCACTCAGCAGAATTAACACTTTTATAGTGTTAAGTCATTCTGTCCCTAAAATGATACATTTATCCATTTAGTGAAGTTTTCTGTGTCTTTTAATAAATTTTTTTTATTAACCCTGAGTAGCTGGGGTTACAGACGCCCACCAACATGCGTGGCTAATTTTTTTGTATTTTTAGTAGAGATGGAGTTTTGTCAGGTTGGCCAGGCTGGTCTTGAACTCCTAACCTCAGGTGATCCGCCCGCCTCGGCCTCCCAAAGTGTTGAGATTACAGACGTGAGCCACCGCGCCCGGCCAGTTATAATATATATTAAGTAGTGTTTATGTTCTGAGAAATTCAGTGCTCTTAACCATATGGTATTCTGTAGTATAAAGCTATTCAGTATAACCCATATTTTATTATTTTTATTTTTTAAATTGATTGTTATCAATTATAAAATTAATAAAACCACATTACAGAACTTTGGAAGATAGGAGGAAAAATACTCACCTAAATCTACCAGGTTGTTATAGCTACTTTTACCATTTTATTACATTTCTTTCCAGTCTTTCCATATGCATATAGTGTCCATTAGCTGTAACTGATGTATAAATAATACTGTATTGTACATTTTCACTTAATATTTTGTCATAATCACTACCTGATGTATTATAGTTGTTGAAGAAGTGCTTGTTGAATGAATGAGCGTTATATTGCAAGAATGTTTTCATTGTCTTTGTAACCATAAATTTTAATATCTGTATAATTGTCCATGAGCTAGATGTAGCCTAGTTTATTTAATCATTTCCCTATAATTGAATATTTTGTAGTTTTTGAAACAGTTTTTACTAAAACTGCAATTAACATTTTTGTGAATGGAGCTCTACCTCCCAACCCCCACCAGCTGGAGTGATAGAAGTAGGTATTCTGATACTGAGTCAAGGGATATGAAAATTCTTAGTCCATGTTGCTTTTCAAAAGAATTATACCAATTTACAGTGTTATTGACAATAAATGAGAGTGGTTCATGTTTACGAGTTTTTCTAGCTCATATCTGTGACTTCTGTTTTCTTTTTCTGGGTTTCTTTCAGATTCTTGTGTTTTACTTTTTGCGATGTCTTCTGGCTTTCGTGAGCTGTATTTGTGAACTTTACTTTTACAAGTGAGTATAAAAACTTTGCTTCTAAAAATGCTATGAGGAAACCCATTATTGCATAGATTATCTCTTGTGATAGTCTAGGCAGTGATTAGAAATAGAAAACACTTTGCCGGGTGTGGTGGCTTACACCTGTAATCCCCGCACTTTGGGAGGCCGAGGCAGGTGGATCACCTGAGGTTGGGAGTTCAAGACCAGCCTGACCAACATGGAGAAACCCCATCTCTACTAAAAATACAAAATTAGCCGGGTGTGGTGGTGCATGCCTGTAATCCCAGCTACTCAGGAGGCTGAGGCAGGAGAATCACTTGAACTCGGGAGGTGGAGGTTGTCGTGAGCTGAGATTGTGCCATTGCACTCCTGGGCAACAAGAGTGAAACTCCATCTCAAAAAAAAAAAAAAAAAAAAAAGGAAAGAAAGAAATAGAATACACTTTCCTTCTAGCTCCTGATATATATATCATATATATATATATATTTTATTTTATTTTTTTTTCTGAGAAAGAAAACTTTTTTTTTTCATACTGAGTTTTATTGTATGCTGCTGCCAGTGTAGATAAAACAATTACCCTTGTGAAATAGAAATTCATGAAAATTCAGAGAGGTAGATATTAAAGACTGACGAAAGTAGAAGTTTGTATAGTATGGCACATGTGCTACAGGGATAAGCTTTTGTACAGACTTCAAATTTAGCTCTGTTTTGAATATCCACTGGATCATAAGAAGTGGTTTGGGAAACTTTTGAAAGATTCATTTTACTACAAAAAAAACAGATTTTCTGGGGTCTGAAGGGATTTGTACTTGAAGATACTCCAGTCAGCAGAGGGTCGTGTTGAACATTCTGCAGACAGAATTGTTTCAAGTCTGCAGCTGCCTGCAAAACTTTTATGCAGCTGACCCTGGCCTCCAGCCGGGGCTTTTGAACTATTTTCTTCATAGCGGCGATGCTGGAGGAGTCAGACATGGTGTCTGTGAGGGCCAGGCCAGTTTGTGGGTTGGTGGGTCATGGGTCAACAGGGCCTGTCTGAAAACTTCTTGCTTTTATTTATTTTTCTCTTCTTTTTCTTTTTTTAATTTTTATTTTTATTTCAATAGTTTTCGGGGTACAGGTGGGTTTTGGTCATATGAATAAGTTCTTTAGTGGTGATTTCTGAGATTTTGATGCACCCCTCACCTGTAGCTCCTGATATTAAATCTGAAGTGTGACTTCTTGTTTAAAACCAACAGTTGAAGAGGAACACTATACTTCTAATTATCATTTTCTTTCCTGAGGTCATAAATACCATAACCTTACGTCATTCATTTTAATTCTGTTAAAAACTATCTAACTGGTCTTTACTTGATAGGATTTAGTAGAACTCTACTTTCGGTCCTAAGATACAGGATCGTGATTTGCCTCTGCCCTACAACTTAGTTGATAAACTACTCCCAGTGTGGGATATCACTGCTCTTGTTTGCACCCAATATATTGTCTTTCACCAAGTATCTATCAGTTGATTGAATATTAGTTGGGACTATTAAGCATTTAAGCGTCCCAGTAATAAAAATAGCCACCTTTTTTACGTGATTAACTAACAAACGTCTTATTTTAATAATGCTTTAGTAATATATTTAAAGGTATTTGGACTTAGTGATCATTATTAAAAGTCTTCCCACAGCTAAAAATGTCAGATTTTAAAAAATCTTTACCCTTGACTCTGAGTGGAGTGGAGGGAAAAAAAGTAAAGCTAGTACTGCCTTTGAGAATTGTAACCATAAATTGGTCTTCATATGGGTTTGGGCCTGAATTCAAATCACCTACATGGTCTTTCAAGCCCTAAACTGAGAATTTATTTTATTATATATTTTTTATTTTATTTTTGAGACTGTCGCCCAGGCTGGAGTGCAGTGGCATGATCTGGGCTCACTGCAACCTCCGCCTCCCGGGTTCAAGCCATTCTCCTGTCTCAGCCTCCTGAGTAACTGGGGCTACAGGTGCACACCCCCACGCCTGGCTAATTTTTTGTACCTTTAGTAGAGATGGGATTTCACCATGTCTCGATCTCCTGACTTCGTGATCTGCCCGCCTCGGCCTCCCAAAGTGCTGGGATTACAGGTGTGAGACAACAGGCCCAGCCGAGAATTTATTTTAAATTGTTCTGGGTTGGTAGTGCCCCTGGCATCTGGCAAAAATTTCTCTAGAGAAATGGACCCTTAACCCAAGTGTCTGAAAATTACCAGAGATAAAGTTCTAATGAACAAGAAATTATAATAAAAATAAATCAGAGCACAGAAGGGAGCAAAACATTATGAGTGAGAATAGAATGTTGACCTGAAAAACTTCATTTCTTGAGAAATAGGAAAATAAATAAGTATATTTAACATTTTCAAACAAGTAAAAGAACCGAAAACATGAACAAGAAACGAGATGACCAAATAAATTTTAAAAAAATCAGAACTTACAAGATCATATAAAATGTAATATTATATAATATCAATAATATATATATAATATTTATACTTAAAACTCAGTAGATAAACAGCAGATTAGACATTCTGATGAGTAAACTAGTAAATTGGAAGATTGATTTAAATAAATTACTCAAAATGCAGTACAGAGAGACCAAAAAAAAAAGGTAATATAGAAGAGGTTAAGAAATGTGTAAACCACAGCTGGGTGCAGTGGCTCACGCCTGTAATCCCAGCACTTTGGGAGGCTGAGGCAGGTGGATCACTTGAGGTCAGGAGTTTGAGACCAGCCTGGCCAACATGGTAAAACCTCATTTCTACTAAAAACACAAAAATTAGCCAGGTGTGGTGGCGCATGCCTGTAGCCCCAGCTACTTGGGTGGTGGAGGCACAAGAATCACTTGAACTCAAGAGATAAAAGTTGCAGTGAGCCAAGATCATGCCATTGCACTCCAGCCTGGACAACAGAGAGAGACTCTCTCTCAAAAAAAAAAAAAAAAAAAAGAAAAGAAAAGAAATGTGTAAGCCAGAGTTGAAAGAACTGATATACATCTAATCAGATTGCAGAAGGAGATGACAGAATGGGGAGAGGCGATATTCGGGGTATTAATAGCTGAGAATTTTCCAGAAATGATGGGGAAAAAAAAGATGCTAATCCATAGATTTAGTAAACCTAACATATCCCAAGCTAAATACAAAAAAATTAGTGTAGTGAAACTGTGTAAAACAGTAGAGACAAAAAGATTTTAAAAGTTGTCAGAGGACTAATAGAATACCTACAAAGGAGTGTTAGGTAGTTATACTGACAGAAGACTTTTTAACAGCCAGAAGACCAAAAAAGAATATCTTCAAAGTGCTGAGAGAAAATAACTCTCATCCTAAAATTGTATATTAGGTTAAGCCATCTTTTAAGACCAAGAGCTAAATACAGATTTTCAGTTAAAAAAAAAATGAGAGAGAGAAAGAAAAAAAAAAAAAAAAAAGGAAGAAGCTTGTAATCCCAATGCTTTGGGAGGCTGAGGCAGGAGGATCGTTGAGGATTGCTTGAGCCCAGGAATTTAAGATCAGCCTGGGCAACATAGCAAGACCTCATCTCTACAAAAAATGAGCTGGATATGATGGCACATGCCTTTAGTCACAGTTACTCCTAGCCATTCGAGAGGCTGAGGCAGGAGGTTCCCTTGAACACTGAAGTTCAAGGATACAGTGAGCTATGACCATGCCACTGCACACCAGCCTAAGTGACAGAGAGTATGACCCTATCTGTGGGGCGGGTGGGGGGATGGGAGGGAAAAAAGGAAAGAAAAGGAAACCAACCAACCAAAAAGACAGAATTTATCATTAACAGATTCTCACTAAAAGAACTTCTAAAAGAGATACGTAGGAAAAAGCAAAATTATTTCAGAAAGAAGCTCTGAAATGCAGTAAGGAATCTGAGCTGGGAAATGATGAACACACGGATGTGTCTGAACAAACATTGACTAAGCAAAGCAGTAGTAATGCCTAAATACATTTAATTTGCGGGGTTCACACCTACGAGAAAGAAGTAGAAGAAGATACGTAATTATTTAAGTTTGAGAAACACTGGTTTAGATAACCAGTTACTCACATTCATCTATCTCCTAGCCCTTTTTTTTCTGACAACTACCGTTTATTGAGCAACTGTGTGCCAGACACTCTCCTAAGCACTTTTCCTTGCATTGTCCTCACAGAAACCTTACAAAGTTTGTGTTATTATTCTTATTTTATGCTTGAGGAATCAGACAGAGAGATTATTCAACCAGAGTAGGCTTCCACTGCTAGTAAGTGGCAGAGCCAGAATTTGAATGTGTGCCCACCTGAATCTAAGGTCTATTATTTTTCACCACATCATTCTATTTTCCACTTGATAGATATAATCTTAGCATGTAAAGAATACATTTTATTTTAGGTAGAGAGCTTCTCTTCTGTGTCAGAAACAAGAATGTTTGGGTTTCTTATGCACAGTGAATTGCTAACAAACCTGTCAAGGTAGTTTTGTGTTTGACTTTAGATCTTGAGTGTTACTTGTGGTACATGTTTTTCTCTTTCGATTTGAGATGTCTATTCCTAATATTTTCCATGCTGATAATCTTATGTTTTTCCTAGGGCTGTGTGCAAGAAGTTTGGGTTACACGTGAGTCGAATGATGCTAGCCTTCTTGGTTCTCAGCACTGGCATGTTTTGCTCATCATCAGGTAAGTAAAAGGGGAGATAAGGGAATTGCACATTCACCAATAGTTGACAGTTGCATTTAAAGGAAGCACTTGTCCAAATGTAGGTTATATTTGTAGAACATGTCAATAATTTGCAGAGTGCTGTTATCTACATTATCTTGATTGAACTTTGTAACAGTCCTACCATGTGAGAAAAATATTTTCTTACTTTTGCAGGTAAAGACATTGAAATGTAGATGAAATGATTTACTAAAAGTCAAAATTCATAAATGGTAGAGCTGATAATCTCACCAGGATGTTTTTTATTCCATTCTTGCATCAACCACCCACTTCCTTTCTTGGCCATGAGGGGAAAGAAAGTAATTCTTTTATTTTGTTTAAGGAAGTTATTTGTACATAAAGACCTTGTTGTTCATGGTTCTGTTTTCCACTGATGATACATTATTTGAGATGTATTCTATGTACATCTTTTGTTGGGCTTTCTTTTGGTAATAAGCTTCTGGAAATTTAGAATAAAAACCTCACTCTAGAGCATTGGCTTTCAGACTGTGCTGCCATTGAACGCTTGTATTGTATAAGCTGAATGAAGGTGGCCCACTGCCAAATGGTAGTCTATTCCCAGTTCTCCAGAAAAATTAAGTTACTGGATATAATTGTCTCAATTTTAGTTTCTGCTTGTGTGTTCCCGGATCTAGTATATACACTGAGTATATGCAAAAACATAGTATCTGGCACGAAATTACATACTTACTTTTCCCATATTGAATATATCAAAATTGATGTTGTTCTGCAGAGATGTCAGGGCTATACTCCAGAGTGACTTTGAGAGCCTGTCCTAAATACATCTGTGCTCTACCTCAGATTACTCTGCTCCCTTTGTCCTGTACACTGCAGCTGGAACTGACAGCTTTGGATGGCATCACTATTATTTGACATTTACTGGTAAAGGGTATACCTCACATGTTTTTAAAGTTGCTTTGCTACTTCTTTCCTTTCTTTTTTTTTTTTTTGAGACAGAGTCTTGCTCTGTTGCCCAGGCTGGAGTGCAGTGATGCCATCTCGGCTCACTGCAACCCCCTCCTCCCAGGTTCAAGCGATTCTTTTGCCTCAGGCTCCTGAGTAGCTGGGATTACAGGCACGCGCCACCGCGCCCAGCTAATTTTTTTATTTTTAATAGAGATGGGGTTTCACCATGTTCGTCAGGCTGGTCTCAAACTCCTGACCTCGTGATCCACCCGCCTCAGCCTCCAAAAGTGCTGGGATTACAGGTGTGAGCCACTGCAGCCGGCATCTTTTCTTTCAAGTGACAAGGTCTTGCTCTTCATCTAGGCAGGCTAGAGTGCAGTGGCAGAATCATAGCTCACTGCAGCCTTGAATTCCTGGGCTCTAGCAGTCTTTCCGCTACAGCCTCCCAAGTAGCTAGGACTATAGGCATGCATCACCATGCCTGGCTAGTTTTAAAATTTTTTGTAGAGATGGAGTTTCACTGTGTTGCCCAGGCTGGTCTCAAACTCTTAGTCTCAAACAGTTCCCCTACCTTGGCCTCCCGGAGTACTGAGATTAAAGACATGTGCCACTGTGCCTGGCCTGCTACTCCTACAATTGATCTTTATATGTAGAAAATTCCTGAGAATATCTTTAGTTTTGTAATCTCATTTGAGACACAGATAAGTTGAAAGCATCTTTTCATACAGAGCCTCTGAACCCTTTGCTGAGTTTAAAAAAACCTCACTCCTATTAATTGTGGTTGTTTTGTAGTTGATACTGATTTTTCTTCCCTACTGAATCAGACTTTCTGCAGCGGAAGAGAAAGATATGCATTTTTGTTCAGAGTTACTAGAAACACTTTAATCAATTGTTTCTGTTCCAGAGACCCTGTCTGTCCTCTGCTGTATACAACAACAAGGTTGAGGTAGATGCAACTAATTAGGGGGCTATCTAAAGGTCAGACTATCTGTGTCAGCAGATGGAGGGTGCAAAGCATTGCTGCCATACAATATCTGGCCCTTGAGGAGGCTTTCTAGAATTTCCTGGGCTAGAGTTTAGGACCAGGACAGTCTCAGAAGACCAACGGAAGATAAAGAAATTGTCAACAATGGCTCTAAGTCTTTCAAAGCATATTCCCTTCCTGGAAATATAATCATGGGGTGTTCCTGGGGAGCATGGAATTTTGTGAGTTTTTGATTTGAGGTTCAGGTTGGGAGAGGAATTACATGGTTAGAATTGTATAGTTGGGTTGGTACCTAAAAAAACAGGAGGGAGAGGCCAGGCACGGTGGCTCATGCCTGTAATCCCAGTACTTTGGGTGGCCGAGGTGGGCGGATCACGAGGTCAGGAGTTCAAGACCAGCCTGGCCAACATGGTGAAACCCCGTCTCTACTAAAAATACAAAAATTAGCTGGGTGTGGTGGTGTGTGCCTGTAATCCCAGCTACTCGGGAGGCTCAGGCAAGAGAATTGCTTGAACCAGGGAATTGGAGGTTGCAGTGAGCCGAGATTGGCCGCTGCACTCCAGCCTGGTGTTAGAGCAAGACTTCGTCTTAAAAAAACACAAAAAAACAAAAACCAGGAATGAGAAAATAAGAGTCATTGAACTACTTTTTTTTTTAAAGGAATATCACTTTGCTGTCCTTTCTAATATAGCATTTCCCAAAATATATACCTACATTTTACACTGTAGGTAAATTTTTAATCAGTTTTTAATTGATACCTAATTAATCTCGAGCTCTTGTCCTCCTGCCTTTTTTCACTTCTTTACTTTTGCAGCATTCCTTCCTAGTAGCTTCTGTATGTACACTACGTTGATAGCCATGACTGGATGGTATATGGACAAGACTTCCATTGCTGTGCTGGGAGTAGCAGCTGGGGCTATCTTAGGCTGGCCATTCAGTGCAGCTCTTGGGTAAGAAACTAACAGTTCTTCTCCCATGTATCTCTGGGCATATAGTAAACCTTAATGTTGGATTAGCTCCATATTATCTGCGTAGAATCTGAAGTTAATCAATTGGGCTTTCAAAGATTCTGGGAAATGGAAGAATATTTCTCTTAGCACTTACTATTATGATTAATTCTAATAAGAGTCATGACCATTGAGCATCTGCTATGTGTTAGGGACAGTGAAACCCTTTGTAAACCTTATCTTGAAACCTTACAACAACTCTGCAGGAGAAATACAATTATTAGTGCTTTATAAATGAGAAAGTAGACTCTGAGAGTTTGAATAATTTACCTTTAAGATTATGTTTGCTTTTGAATCCAGGCCTTTTTGACTCTACAGCTGATGTTTTCTCCACACGGCACCACCCTGTTCTGTGAATTTTTTCACTCACTCAGGTTTGAAATCTGAGTTTTCTCCCGTCTTCCTTCTTTCTTTATTTTTATTTATTTATTATTATATTTGAGATGAAGTTTCACTCTTGTTGCCCAGGCTGGAGTGCAATGGCATGATCTTGGCTCACCACAACCTCCGCCTCCTGGTTTCAAGTGATTCTCCTGCCTCAGCCCCCAAAGTAGCTGGGGCTACAGGCGTGCGCCACCATGCCTGGCTAATTTTGTATTTTTAGTAGAGGCGGGGTTTCTCCATGTTGGTCAGGCTGGTCTTGAATTCCCAACCTCAGGTGATCCACCTGCCTCGGCCTCCCAAAGTGCTGGGATTACAGGCGTGAGCCACTGCGCCTGGGCCAGTCTTCATTCTTGCCCCCAACATCTTTTTTTCCACCAAGCTCCTTCTATACTCTTTGTTCCCACTACTTCTGTTCTACTGTGTGCTGCCGTAATTTCTTACCTGTACCACAGGTAATTTAGGAAAATGTTTTAATATGATGTTAAGGTTGTTTTAGAAGGATTATATCTTTATTGTAAAAATAAAAGTAAGTACCAGATTGTCTAAGGTAAAAATAATTCCTAATTTTCTTCTCCGCTAGCTCAATCCTCAAAGATAGTCGCTGCTAATAGTTTGGTATATATCTTTCCAGAAAAATTATCCTGTGTGTATAAATATTTGTATACATACCAATCTACATTCTTAAATGGAATTATTCTGTATATATATAGGTATTCTACATATTAATAGATTTATATCATTGTTTATATTGGTTACATAACATTCCGTGGTTTACTTAACTGTTGCCTTATTGGTAGACATTTGGTTTTCATTTTTTTTACTGTTACACCCAATGCCTAAGTGAACAATTTTTTTGTTTGTTTGTTTTTTTTGAGATGGAGTCTTGCTCTGTCACCCAGGCTGGAGTGTAGTGGCACGATCTTGGCTCACTGCAACCTCTGTCTCCCAGGTTCAAGCAGTTCTCCTGCCTCAGCCTCCCAAGTAGCTGGGATTACAGGTGCATGCCACCATGCCCGGCTAATTTTTGTGTTTTTAGTGGAGATGGGATTTTACCATATTGGCCAGGCTGGTCTCAAACTCCTGACCTCGTGATCGCCTGTCTCGGCCTCCCAAAGTGTTGGGATTAAAGGTGTGAGCCACCGTGTCCGGCCCAGTGAACATTATTATACAGATATCTTTGTGCACTTATGGAAATTTACCTGTGGGGTAAATTTTTATAAGGGGAGTTACTGAGAGAATAGGCCATTTTAAATTTTCTTAATTGCCTTTTAAAGGCTGGTTTCCATACCTCCATTCCTTTCTTCTATTCTATTTTGCACATTCTCAGATTTTCATATTCCTCAGGATTGTATCTTAGGCCCTCTTCTGTACTTTCTGCTGTCTCTCAGCCATCTTGGTGATTCCCATAGCTTAATGTCTAGTCCAGTTATCTCTCTTGAGCTTCATTCATATATTCCCAGCTGCTTAGTAGATAGCTGCTGAATTCATTATCTTCTCTCCATAGCTGTTCCTTTACTCGTGTTTCTATTCCAGTAAATAGTACTGCTGTCTCCTCAATACTTACCCAGAAACCTAAAAATTGTCTGTGCTCTTCTCTCTTTCCCATCCCTGTTAATTGATTGTATCTCCTGAATATCTTTTGAATCTGATTAGTTATCTTCACTCCTCCTTGTTCCTGGATCACTACACGGCCTCCTAAATGATCTCCTTGTCTCTAGTATTGACCCCTGTAAATCAGTTCTCCAAACTCACTGGAGTTATGTTCCTCAAATTCAGATGTGGTTGTATCACCTCCCTGTTTTAAACTCTGTGGTAGCTTCTCCATTGCTTTATGTCATGAGGGTTGGCTGACTGACCTGTTTTTGTACAGCCCAACAACTAAATAGTGTTTACGTTTTTAAAGGGTTTTTAAAAAACAACAAACATACACAGAGGAGGAAGACTATGCAACAGAGAACATACATGGCCTGCAAAGCCTAAAATATATACTGTCAGGTCCTTTAAATAAAAGGTTTGCCAACCCCTGCCCTGTGGTATCCAGACTCAAAGATAACACACAACGCCCTGCATGGTCTTCCTTTTACTTCTCCAGCTTCTTTTTGTCAGTTCTTCCATTCCTTTCATTCTCTATTCCATCTACATTGAATTTCACTGAGTTCCTCAAATAGCTCTTGGGTGCCACATTTCGATGAGTCCGCCTTTACCAAGATAAGTGATTTCAGGATCACAGTCAGTTAGCAATCAGTATACTGTCATTCATTGAATGCTTTGTGCTAGATACTACTGATATTTTAGAAATTAGATAGTCATGCTTCCTGCCCTTTTGGAACTTAACAGTTTAGTAGGAAAGACAGATATTGGACACGTAATTGAAAGTATGACTTATCAAAGGAGAAATACAGGTACTATGGAAATGGAAGGAGTTGGGGTGACAAAAAATAAAAACAAAATGTTAATGCAGAATTTACGTAACAACATGGAGGTTCAAATCACAGAAGAGGTACTATGACAGCACACAACATTGCTAAATCAATGATAGGGATGATGATGCCATATAAAATCAAAGATGGGACCAGGCATGGTGGCTCATGCCTGTAATTCCAGCACTTTGGGAGGGTGAGACAGGCAGATCTCCTGAGGTCGGGAGTTTGAGACCAGCCTGGCCAACGTGGGGAAACCCCGTCTCTACTAAAAATACAAAAAAATTAGTGGGGTGTGGTGGTGCGCACCTATAGTCCCAGTTACTTGGGAGGCTGAGGCAGCAGAATCACTTGAACCCAGGAGGCGGCGGTTGCAGTGAGCCAAGATCATGCTGCTACACCCAGCCTAGGTGACAGACTGAGATGAGACTCTGTCTCAAAAAAAAAAAAAAAGTTAGCTGGTGCTGATGGCGTGTGCCTGTAAGTCCCAGCTACTTGGGAGGCTGAGGCAGGAGAATGCTGGAACCTAGGAGATGGAGGTGGTAGTGAGCCGAGATTGCACCACTGCACTCCAGCCTGGGCAATAGAGTGAGACCCTGTCTCAAAAAAAAAGTCTATAATAACATTATTACTAAAATCCTAGTAAATCATGGAAGGGAGAGGTTAGTACTTACTTCTTTGGCAGGGTGGGTGTAAGAAGTAGGGCACATAGGCCGGGTGCGGTGGCTCACGCCTGTAATCCCAGCACTTGGGGAGGCCGAGGCACGTGGACTGTGAGGTCAGGAGATCGAGACCATCCTGGCTAACACAGTGAAACCCTGTCTCTACTGAAAATACAAAAAATTAGCCAGGGCTGGTGGCGGGCACCTGTAGTCCCAGCTACTCGGGAGGCTGAGGCAGGAGAATGGCATGAACCTGGGAAGTGGAACGTGCAGTGAGCCGAGATCACGCCATTGCACTCCAGCCTGGGCAACAGAGCGAGACTCCATCTCAAAAAAAAAAAAGACAGTAAGGCACATATACTTATATTTTAAATTTCCATTACCCATAAATGTGTATCAAATGGAATTAATTCCAGCAGCTCAGTAATTCTATTTCTTGTGCATCCATGGGATACAGAGCACTCTGATGGGTCCTGTGAGGACATCCTCTCACATACCAGGTTTCTTCCCTCACTATAACTGACAGAGGCATTTTATGCTCAGTTCAGCTTGAGGTAGGTGTGAATCTGACCTGTCTCTGTCAGTATTTATTTAACTCCCCACTGTCTGTTTCTCTGTTAAATAGTTTACCCATCGCCTTTGATTTGCTGGTCATGAAACACAGGTGGAAGAGTTTCTTTCATTGGTCGCTGGTGGCCCTCATACTCTTTCTGGTGAGTTTTCTTTTTTACTTGTTTTGTCCTAAAGTTGTAATGAAAGCAACTTTGATGTGAAAAAAGGAACATTAGGAGTTTATTCTGTTTTTCATTCTCAGGTTTATACTATTAGCATTTTGAGAATGTTTCCAGAGCAAAACTATTTTCTGCTCTGTTTTAGGTGCCTGTGGTGGTCATTGACAGCTACTATTATGGGAAGTTGGTGATTGCACCACTCAACATTGTTTTGTATAATGTCTTTACTCCTCATGGACCTGATCTTTATGGTAAGGCTTTGTGAAATTTGGGCAAGTGTTAGGAGATGGCTTAATTGCCTGAACTTCAACATTTTAATTCAGTTGCCTCATTTCATTACATATAGCAGTTCTTTGCTGATTTTATCTTTTCCTATTTAAAAATGACATCTGAGTATAGCACAGTGATGACACGTAGCCACTCAAATATTTCTCCTTGATTAATGTGATATTCCAATACTGGCTCTCTATTTTTCCTGTTTGTTATTTTCACTTTCAGAATTTTGAGGACTCTGGGTATGCTATGGCTTTTGATGCTTTTTTATTTTTAATTAAAAGTTACTTTTTTCTCTTCTTATTAAAAAATCAGTATGATAGGAGAAGAAAATAAAAGCATAATACTCTCATATCCATATAACTATTACTAACACATGGGAGTATACCCCAGACATTTTTTTGTTTGTTTGTTTGTCTGTTTTTTTGAGATGGAGTTAGACTCTTGTTGCCTAGGCTGGAGTGCCATGGCATGATCTTGGCTCACTGCAACCTCCACCTCCCGGGTTGAAGCAATTCTCCTGCCTCAGCCTCCCGAATAGATGGGGTTACAGCTATTAGCCTGCCACCACGTCTGGCTAATTTTTTTGTATTTTTAGTAGAGACAGAGTTTCTCCATGTTGGCCAGGCTGGTCTTGAACCCCTGACCTCAGGTGATCCACCTGCCTCGGCCTCCCATAGTGCTGGGATTACAGGCATGAGCCACCATGCCTGGCCCAGACATTTTCTATATATACACATATTTGATGTTACTTTTTCTCTTCCAGATTTGCTTTACTTCAATTCCAGCATTTGGGGAGAAAGTTTGGAAAATCTGTAGACAAAGTTACAGTGAATGGGGCTGGTCTGGGGTCAGCATGGGAGGGTGGGGAAGTTGTTGAGCTTAGGGTTAAGAGAAAAAATGGAATGCCTTTAGTCTGGGGATGCAGTCTTCAGTTTACCCCATCTCCACTGCTTCCCTGATGCCTTTCACTCCACCAGCCAGTTTCATTTGGCCCCTGAAGGAATTTGAGTTAGTTACAGTAATTGGGGGATGAGCTAGAGATCTTTTGGATCAAATCAGCAAAGTCAGCAAACATTTCATGAGAGAGGCAGTTTTTTCATTAAAATAATTATAGTTTCTTCGGCCTTAATCTTTTGAGGGTCTTGGAACATTCTGTATAAGTGCTTGCTTTGGGGTTTTGCTATGAAGCAGGTTAAGATTGTGTCTATCTGTACCCCTATCAATTTAAATCTTATCACTAGCCATGTCCATCATTTGCTGTGCCATTTTGCCAATAGAGCCAACAGATTGAATAAGGAGATTTAAAGTAAGAATATGAATGAGATTTACTTGAGTCTCCTGGAATTTGGGGAATATTATTCTAGATGGCAAGTAATAGGTTAAGATAAGCAGTGCTTTGTTCAGTGGATTGAATTCGCAAACTGCACAGTTAGAGAATAATTACTAAGTGAAAGAACTTTAAAAAAGCTCCTTTATGGCTCTAAGACCCCCAGGGATGTGAGAAAAGGCCCCAGTGTTAAGCTTTTGCCTCTAGATGTCTCCCTTTAGCTAGGGAGAGTTTGCATGTTTGTGGTTGCCTCTTGTTTTAGTTTACTTGTAAAATTTTATTCTATTTCACAAGACAATAAAAGATCTTAGATCTAGATTGCACAGTAGAAATTGTTTCACAGAGGGCCTATTAGAAACACAATATCTACTCTGTATGGGTGAATAAATTGAGTTAATTTATGTTAATTTTGAAAAATTGACTTCTCCACCTTTATAATGGGTTACTGATATTCTGACTCCTTATTTATAAAACCCTTTTGTGAGAGACTTATGAAAGTGACAGATGTTTTTGTATCCCTCTGGATTGATGAATCTCTCTCTCTCTATTTATTTATTTATTTATTTATTTTTGAGACGGAGTTTCACTCTTGTCACCCAGACTGGATGCAGTGACGTGATCTCTGCTCACTGCAGCCTCTTCTCCTGGGTTCAAGCAATTCTCCTGCCTCAGCCTCCTGAGTATCTGGAATTATAGGTGCCCGCCACCACACCCTTCTAATTTTTGTATTTTTAGTAGAGACCAGGTTTCGCCATGTTGGCCAGGCTGGTTGCCAACTCCTAACCTCAGGTAATCCACCAGTCTCGGCCTCCCAAAGTGCTGGGATTACGAGCATGAGCCACCATGCCCAGGGATGAAACTCTTAAATATAGGAATAATCAGACTGGTAGGGTAAGTAGGAAAGAAGGAATAAATTCTGATTTCAGTTTACAGTGCTAGTTTAACAGTGGGTCATTCAGGAACCCCTGCGGTAGGTTTTGAGATCCAGTAGAGCAGTGGGCAGTCTTTCCTGGGACACTGGCATTTGCTGTTCATTTCAGTCAGCGTTTTACTGGGAAAGAGTCCTTGGAACTTCTTTCTGCCTGCTTTAATGAACCTGGGATAGCTTCAGTTCAGATTTTGCTATTTTGGGTGTATAGAAACTGAGCACTTTCCTGGGGGTAGCAAAAACTTTGTTGAAACAGAGAGAATTGCCTTACCAACCGTGACTCGGACTGATACAGTGCTGCAGTCAGCCAGACTTCAGGGAGTTGTTCCTTGATGGCAGGATTTGTGTGCCTTTACCTCATCTTTGAATTTGGTAAAAAGAATTTTTGTCTGATTTCCATTCTTTTTTTTTTAAGACAGAATCTCACTCTGTCACCCAGCCTGGAGTGCAGTGGCGCGATCTCTGCTCACTGCCACCTCTGCCTCCCGGATTCAAGCTATTCGCCTGCCTTAGCCTCCTGAGTAGATGGGATACAGGCACCCACCACCATGCCTGGCTAATTTTTGTATTTTTAGTAGAGACGGGGATTTCACCATGTTGGCCAGGCTGGTCTCGAACTCCTGACCTCAAATGATCCACCTACCTCAGCTTCCCAAAGTGCTGGGATTACAGGCATAAGCCACCGTGTCCGGCCTGATTTCCATTCTTTTAGAGTGTTAACTCCTTTTTGGTTTAGGAGCCCTGCAGAGAGAATACTTCTTCCATCTTAGGAGTAGGAATTCCTTGTATAGTCCAGATTTACAGTAAAGATCTGTCAAGAATAAATTGGGTTACATTAGTGTGTCATTTACTATGGTATCCTAGAATCACTTTTATTAGACCTGTTGTGGTGCTAGCTTGAGATTTTCTTGATACCAAATAAGAATACTATAATAGATATAAATAAAATACTTTTTAAATAAAAAAGTACTTCATGATTGTCAGCTAATTTTATTATAATTGGTGAGTCTATTCGTATATATAAAAGACTTGTATTTTACTAGATGTTTTGAGGTAGTAAACTTGTCAGACAGCGAAATAGCATGTCTTTTGTATTGGAAATGCTAGCTCTTTCACTTTATTACATGTTGGGCACTATTTGGCATTGTTTGGCTGTTTTACAAGAGTCTCCTGCTCCAGGTGCCTCATTAGCTATGTTAAGCACACAGTTTCTTATCTGAAAATTAAAAATGCATTGTGTGGTATACACCATAGAATACTATGCAGCCATAAAAAGGAACAAGATAATGTCCTTTGCAGGGACATGGATGGAACTGAAAGCCATTGTCTTCAGCAAACTAAGACAGAAACAGAAAACCAAACACCACGTTTCACTTATGAATGGGAGCTGAACGATGAGAACACATGGACACACGGAGGGGAACAACACATACTGGGGCCTGTGGAGGGGGACGGAGGGAGGGAGAGCGGGAGAGAGCATAGGATAATAGCTGATGCATGCTGGGCTTAATATCTAGGTGATCGGTTGATCTGTGCAGCACACCACCATGGCTCAAGTTTACCTATGTAACAAACCTGCACGTCCTGCATGTGTACCCCAGAACTTAAAATAAAAAAAGTTTAAAAACAGGAAAAAAATGCATTGTGCTGATAGTTTTTGCATATATCTCTTAGTGCTATTTCTCATATATAAGAACATACTAAGCCTATTAATATTTCTTGAATGGATGGACAAATGGACTTCAGTTAAAGAAACATTGAAGGTCAGGTGCAGTGACTCAGGCCTGTAATCCCAGCACTTTGGGAGGCCAAGGTGAGCGGATCACTTGAGGCCAGGAGTTCGAGACCAGCCTGGCCAACATGGTGAAACCCTGTCTCTACTAAAATTATAAAAATTAGCTGGGCGTGGTGGTGCTCGCCTTTAATCCCAGCTACTTGGGAGGCTGAGGCACGTGAATTGCTTGAACCCAGGAGACAGAGGTTGCAGTGAGCTGAAACTGCACCACTGCACTCCAGCCTAGGTGACAGAGCAAGACCTTGTCTCAAAAAAAAAAAAAAAAAAAATTGAATAAATTGCTTTTGAGCATTAATCTTGTGTCCTCATAGTACTTACTGTCTAATTAGGCTGCAGACACACAAACAGATAATTACAGGACAGTGTCTTATGTGCTACAGGGGAAAGATAGGGAATCATAGGAGCAAGAGCAAGTCCCTCTGGTGGTGTCAAGAAAGGTGTGGCTCTTCAGCTGAGCCTGGAAGGAAGAGTAGGAGTGTCCTTAGTAAATGCTAGGGGGATACATTTCTGACAAATGGAATGTCAAATATAGGGACTGCTGAGGCAAAAAGATTGAATATTGAGTTCTTTATAAAAACATTTTTACAGCATTGGTTGGATTTTAGGTAGAAACTATTCACACATGAGCAAGATGATTTCAATCACTCCACTGTGGTTATGATCATATATTTACCCTCTCTGTTGTTCTTGGTTTTCTTTTCTTTTCTTCTTCTTTTTTTTTTTTTTTTTTTTGAGATGGAGTTTCACTCTTGTTGCCCAGGCTAGAGTGCAATGGGGCGACCTCGGCTCCCCGCAGTTCAAGCAATTCTCTTGCCTCAGCCTCCCGAGTAGCTGGGATTACAGGCATGGACCACCAGGCCCAGCTAATTTTATATTTTTTGTAGAGACGGGGTTTCTCCATGTTGGTCAGGCTGGTCATGAACTCCTTGGGGTTTTCAAAGGGACCTTTCTACACTTTCCTGGCTAGGTAGCACGTATTAGTGAGACATTCTAGACTTGAGCTGACACCTTTCATTTGAAGCCGGGGGAAATAAAGGGAGTAAATTTTCAAAGATATTAATTACAGTATCTTCTGATTATTGAGTGCCTACTATGTGTCAGAAGTTATTCACATACCATCTTCTTCTCCTCAAAAAACTCTGAGACAGGCCTTATTTATCTTTATTCCTGGATGAAGAAACTGAGATTGAGATGGTGAGGAATATGCCACATAGTTAAATAAGTAGCAAAAGTGGGATGAGAGTCCAGTGTTGTCTGACTTCAAAGCCCGTGTTCTTTCCACCAAAAACAAGACCCTTAGCAAAAACCCTGGAGTGTGACTACTGAGACTTTACCAGAGAATAAGCTTACAAAAACAGAGCATGAGTTGAGGGTGGCAGAAGATAGGATCCAATCTATAGAATAGGTGGAAAATTATACCTTTGAAGGTTTGTGCATTTTGGCTTGGAAGGTGATCAGGAGCCCCTAGTGAGCTTGAGTGGCAGAGTGACATGCACACTGGCAAGTTCTCTTTCACATGGGAGCGCCGTACCAGACCCTTTTGTTGAAGAAAGAAGGAGTGTTTGGATAAGGTAAAGAATACTTGGCTCTTAGAAAATTTAGAGGATAGACTAGAATTGTGAAGTCTTAGGCAAAACGTCTCTGTGGGGTCGGAGATCAAGAGGTGAAATTTAGTGTTGCAGAAAAGAAAGTGATTGGTCTTGGCACTGATTTTGCCCCTCATAACTTTTCAAGTTCTCAGATGTTGATGTTGGCAAGTATTTTTGTCTGGTGAGTGAAGAGTGGTGCTCTCTGCTGAGGAGTGCACAGGCCTGGAGAAGGCATGGGAATACACTTACAGGAAACGCTCTTGCCTCAGAAAGAACAGTGAGTCTGCTCAGGATGCCACTTTGCAGCTTAGGACAGGATCCCATTGCCTGTTTATATGTTTTATCAACATCTGTCTGATCACTGGATGGAAAGATTCAGACGATACCCACAAATGCCCTCTGTTGGGAGGCCCACAGGTTTCCATAATTGCAGTGGCAGAGGAAGAAGCCCCAGTGGGGTCTTATCAGTCCTTCTTAGAATTCACTGCCAGCCAGAACTGTTCTAGAGCCTTTGCTCTTCTGTTAATCATCTCTCTTGAACCTTAGTGGCTTTTCCCTCTCGGTGGTACAAATTTGACATTTATAAGGATGACTTACTATGATTTAGTTCCTACAGTTCTATAAAATTATAACTTTGGGAAGTAGTTCTTCTTCGTTCAATCTATGGAGCAGTAAACATTATCCCTTCTTTTAGCTTCTTTGAAAGCTTCCCTTAGCTCATTTGATTGAAAGGACTTGAGGCACTTTCCATAAAGAGGAAGATGGGTGAGTCACCCCCTACAGAGACCCTGCTGCCAGCTTTCCTTCACCTAAACATCTTGTACCAGTTCAGCGCCTAGCTTGTCATTCTGACATGGTTTTTTGCATAGTTCAGCTCTGATGTTTTCTGAGCAGCAGCATTAAATATCTCCCTGGAAAGAGATAAAAGTTTATACCCTTTCCTTTCCTAAGGCAGATGTGTCATCAAGCGGGGGAGGACTCTGGCTGAGAGAAGTCACTCTTTTTGTTCCCTTTTGGCCTTGTTTTTAAGACTGTTGACACTTGAACCTTCTTCACTGTTGGCTTATCCCCCAGTTTTTGCCCCATCTTTCAGGGAAATAACAGTCTATTATGAAATATTCACAGCCTAGTTGGAAAATTGATTTATGAGCTCTGAACACATAAAAATGATTGCATTTACCAACTTAATACTTTTGTTTCCTCTTCTCAGAGTACAGTATACCTAGATAAAAAGATAGCTCTAACAGGAAGGTATAGTAAGTTGTGTTAGAGACAAATATTTTCTGGAAGCTAAAGTGCTTTCCTGAAAAAAACAGTCTATATTTGCAAATATCAAAGAGACAAGTGACTCTTCCTATTGGTGCTTAACATCTGCAATAGATAATAGAAAGGATAACTCCCTTTCTGTCTGGTCACTTTATGGTTTTTCTTCACAAGCTCAGATTTCCAGAATCCTGTTAAGAAAAAGGTGAGTCAGAGGTTGCTAGCACTGCCTCCACACTGGTGGTCAGGAGAGGATTGTGCAAAAGCTTACCTCTCTGGAAATTGGATTCTAAAGGACTCAGTTTAAAAAATGTTGTTAAATTCTAATTAAGATTCAGAGAAGACATTTTTTATTTGAGAATAAAATCATCCATTGGTTTTCTGTAACCCAAATGCGTATTTGTAAAGAATACAAGATTAAAATGTCCCTGATGAACTGGGCCTGGAATAGGACCTCTGTTCATGAATAATCTGTATCATTGTATTGAGACAGGAAGGAGTGAGCTTCCCCCAAAAGTGACACACAGTTGAACTTGAACTCTTCCTTAGTGTAACCTCCCTCCCTCTTACTTCTCCCCTAAATGTTTCTAGCATTATGGGTTTGGTTTCTAATCTTATTTTGCTGTGCAAGCTGCAAGAATGTCAGGTTTTTCTGACTATTCCTCTGCCTTCTGATTACCCTTTTAAGCAATGCTGATTGCAGGAAATTGCTATGGTGCAAGGCGGGTGTCACAACACACAGTGATTAAAACCCGCATGTGTCATTCACTGCTTGATTGAAGTAATCATACAGAGGGGAAAAGCAGATGAAAAACCTGCTAAATGTGCAGAGGGGGTCTGCTTCTCATCATTTGGGTGTAAGGATTTTGAGTTCAAGAATAAAAACGAGTGTGAGTGAGGCTTGTGTTTTTAGTGATTTTGCTTCATTCTGAATCCTTAAAACTTCTGAGCAAGGCCTGGGTCTCTGAACATGATCTAAGAAAAACAGGTTGTTGCTTTTTACCAAACACATGTTGCCCAGCGTACGCGACTATAAAATAGTGGTTGAGCATATCAAGGGGAAAGATGCTAGAATGTAAATGGGACAAACAGGTGAAAACAAAATGGGACAGGCCTGAATAGCTCAAAGTAAGTTCCTTATTTTTATTTTTATTTGAGACAGGGTCTCACTCTGTCACCCAGGCTGGAGTGCAGTGGCACAGTCTACTGCAGCCTTAACCTCCTAGGCTCAAGCAGTCCTCCCATCACAGCCTCCCTAGTAGCTGGGATTACAGGCATGATCCACCACACCCAGCCACCAGCTAAGTTCTTTTATCACTCTTTCCTTTGGTCTACACGATGTTGAGAGAATAGTTAAATTGAAATGGCAGTTTTATTATTTTAGCCTTTTGTGACTCTAAAGCTATTTAAATTATTTGGTGGTTCTCAAAAGTATTAGTTCCACTTGGGCATAGCAATTTGGGCTAGATATAGTGGTCAGTATAGAAAATACAGTATAGGCCGGGCGCGGTGGCTCACACCTGTAATCCCAGCACTTTGGGAGGCTGAGGCGGGCGGATCACGAGGTCAGGAGATAGAGACCATCCTGGCTAACACAGTGAAACCCCGTCTCTACTAAAAATACAAAAAAATTAGCCGGGTGTAATGGCGGGTGCCTGTAGTCCCAGCTACTCGGGAGGCTGAGGCAGGAGAATGGTGTGAACCCGGGAGGTGGAGCTTGCAGTGAGCCGAGATCATGCCACTGCACTCCAGCCTGGGCGGCAGAGCGAGACTCCGTCTCAAAAAAAAAAAAATAAAAGAAAATACAGTATAGAAAATATTTGAAACTTGATTTCTCCCTAAATCCTCATGACCAGTCCCATTCTCTTCCATCTTGTGCTCTTGTGCTGCTTTTGTGTGACTTAGCATGGGAAGAGTGGGCTGTGGACTCTCATTCCCATGAGACATAGGATCATCAGTGTTACTCAAACAAAGAACATTTTATGTCAAGCACCGTAACAGGTGTTAAAGACATCCACTAATGATTTCTTACCTTTATGTCTCCCTCAGGTACAGAACCCTGGTATTTCTATTTAATTAATGGATTTCTGAATTTCAATGTAGGCTTTGCTTTGGCTCTCCTAGTCCTACCACTGACTTCTCTTATGGAATACTTGCTGCAGAGATTTCATGGTGAGTGGTCTAAGAGATACCATGGTGAGTGGTGTAAGAGATACCTTGATACCAGATAGGTGTTTTGGGAGGAAAGAGCAAGTAATGATGTATACCAAGAACTGAAGGAAAATCCTACTTACTTCATTTTCTACATTCTTCCTATGGAAATGGTTGGCTTACTGAATTTTCAGTCTGTATTTGTTGATCTGTTGAACCCTTGTGAAGATTTGGTACATTGGGGCGAATTAAATTGACAGGAGGAAGAGCTTCATTATTGCTTTAAGTGAGGAAGTCAATATAATTTACACAATCACCCAGGGAAGTAAAAATGTTTATAAAATCTCAGAAGGAGGCCGGGTGCGGTGGCTCACGCCTGTAATCCCAGCACTTTGGGAGGCCAAGGCGGTTGGATCACCTGAGGTCAGGAGTTAAAGACCAGCCTGGCCAACGTAGTGAAGCCCCATCTCTACTAAAAATACAAAAATTAGCCAGATGTGGTGGTGGGCGCCTGTAATCCCAGTTACTAGGGAGGCTGAGGCAGGAGAATTGCTTGAACCTAGGAGGCAGAGGTTATAGTGAGCCAAGATCCTGCGCCATTGCACTCCAGCTGGGCGACAAGAGCAAAACTCCATCTCAAAAAAAAAAAAAAATCTCAGAAGAGAACAAGCCTATCTGAGTTTTCTGTCTTTTAAAGAAGTGTGTGTTAACCTGATAGGTTGCTTAAGGTAATCCATGAGATTTTTTCAAACAAAAGTATAAAATCTGAACCATACAGGGATTTCCCCAAATTTGACATTGAAGTACAGGAAGCTTTGGACTTCCTCAGAAGCGTGATGCTTTTCTTTGTTCCTTTTTGTTTCTGTGTCTGCCTTATTGGAGAAAGTTTGGTTTGTCATTTGCTTTACTTGCTCTGATTCTGTAGTGCACAGCTGGTGTTTTCTCAAGTTGTCGTGGCTCTGGATATCTAGTGCCTCTCGTTTCTTTTATGGAAGACAGATTTGAGCAGAAATTCATATGAGGTTTTGAAAAAGATTTAATTTCAGACTTTTCAGTCTGATTTGGATGCCATATGATCAGTTCCCCCATCCCACCTCCATTCTGCTTTTCTACTATTAATGGTTTATAATGAGTTCATTTTATTATAAGAATATTAGAGTAGCCTTCAGAGTCACTTTTTTTGGTGTTAGGACTTTTGTTTTAACATAGCCATAATGCCATTATCCTAACAAAATTATCAGTAATTTCTTAATACCATCTAATACCCAGTTGATTTCCTAGATTGTCTGAAAAATAGCCTTTTATAGTTAGTTTAAAAGCAGAATCTCAACAAGGGTCACATACTGAATTTTGTGTCTTAAGCTTTTTAAGAAGACCCCCATCTTACTTTTTTTCTTTCAAAGATTTCTTTAAAGAAACCAGGCCATCATCTTGCATAATGTCCCACATTTTAGACTCAGCTGTTTGCTCCCTTGAGGTGTTAACTTATTCCTCTATCCCTTCTATTTCTTAAGGATCACTTTTTCTTTTTTTGAAAATAGCTATTTTTCTGACTATAAAAATAATTTATGATAGCTGGGAGCAGTGGCACGTGCCTATAGTCCCAGCTGCCCGGGAGGCTAAGGTGGGAGGATTGCTTGAGCCCAGGAGTTCGAGACCACTCTGGGCAACATAGTGAGACCTGTGTCTGTGTTTTTAAAAACAATAATAATTATTTATGCTTTTGGAAAATTTGGAAATGCTTGTAACATCAGTAAAAAACCAGAATATTAAGCTGTTCCCTACAGTATGATAAAAATTTAAGTATAAAAATTGATTTAAAATGCATAAGGTATGCACATATCTACCTAGTAAGAAAACAAACATTTTCTGTTTTTTTCTTTATATTTTAATGGGATTTTTACAATAGAACCAATACCTTTTTAAGAGAAAAAAGACCAGGCACGGTGGCTCATGCCTATAATCCCAGTAGTTTGGGAGGATGAGGTGGAAGGATTGCTTGAACCCAGGAATTCAAGACCAGCCTAGGTGAGAGAGCAAGACCCTGTCACTACAAAAAAATTAAAAAATTGACCGGGCATGATGGTGCACACCTGTAGTCCCAGCTATTTGGGAGGCTGAGATGGGAGGATTGCTTAAGCCTAGGAGGTCAAGGCTACAGTGAGCCATGGTTGCGCCACTACACTCCAGCCTGGGTGACAGAGCGAGACCCTGTCTGAAGAGAAAAAAAAGTCCCCCAAACCATAGAAAATTATAAAGAAGCAGGAAATAAATTACCCATGATTTCATCATACCTAGCTGTGGTTGTGATTTTGTATATTTTATGGAGGACATTTCAAAATTTTTTGCCTTATTAAAAAAAAAGATTACTCGTTAGCCTTTAAGGTACAGAAGAGAAAAGGACCATTTACTTGTGGACAATAAATGGATTTATTTTATTCTAATTAAAAAACCCCACCTTAGACCAGGCACGGTGGCTCACGCCTGTAATCCCAGCACTTTGAGAGGCTGAGGCAGGTGGATCACCTGAGGTCAGGAGTTCAAGACCAGCACGGCCAACAGTGTGAAACCCCATCTCTACTAAAAATATAGCAATTAGCCTGGTGTGTTGATGTATGCCTGTAATCCCAGTTACTAAGGAGGCTGAGGCAGGAGAATCTTTGAACCTGCGAGGTGGAGGTTGCAGTGAGCCAAGATCGTGCCACTGCACTCCAGCCTGGGCGACAGAGAGACTCCATCTCAAAAAACAAACAAAAAAACCCCTCCGCCTTAAAATATACTACCTAGAAAGGTATATATCCTAAATATCTAAATAATCTAATTAATCTAAAATCCCATAATATCTTAGAGCAAAAGTTGAAAAAAAATCTTGTTATTGTAGTTCAAGAATTTTTATCATTCCTAAAGAATTTCTGCGGTGATACTGATAGCCTAGGAATGCTAAATTAGGCAGAGCTAAAGAGGGTCTTGATGATAGTCCTGATCTTGTAGCTTACCGTTAACATGGTGGACACCAGGTGGCGCTGTCTATCTACCATTTACCTGCGTTTGCATTGCTCATTATCGCTCATGTAAACGCAGTAGGAGATGCCTTCACTGTGGGTTGCAGGCTTATCACTCATTGCTCATGTACCTAACCACAGGAACTTTCCAGCAGGTTCTTGGGTTTTCGTGTTCATTACATTCCTTTAATTCTTTCACATGCTTTAAGTACATTTTTGTTCCAATTTGGGGATCTGGAGTGGATGCGTATTGCAAAAAATGGAGAGAAAACAATCACTGAACTTCCTTTAAGAGCATTTTTATGTTTGCTTTGAAGCAAACTCTGTCATTTGTGGCTTGATGAAAACCAGTAATGAGTTTGAGAATCCAACAATTTTTTTTTCCTTTGATCCATGGCTATTTGAACAGACTGATTGGTGTATAGATAAGAGGATTCATGTATTAAACACAACATCAGAATTAAAACCCAAGAAATGAATTTATGTTATGTTTTTGGTTAAACTCAGGAACCTTTCGTCTTAGTGGCAGGACTCGTTAAAGGAGACGGCTTTTTTTTTCTTCATCTAACGTGGAATTTATTAAGTTCTATTAGCCATTAACTTTACGTTCATTTGTGTCCTAACCAAATCTAGTATTGTACTTGTTGTTAGAGTTTAGATCTCTTGGGAGAGCTAAGGAGTATATTCCTCTCTCCTTTTGATGCCTTTATTGCATTGGAGAAAGTGTGAATACAAGAGTAGAAACATTTTGTGGAGTGTCCTAGGGCATACTCCCAAATATGAGATCAAGATAACACTGAAACTAAATACGTCATTTTGTTCTAATATAATGAAAGATGAATATTTTTCTGTGTCTTGCAGTTCAGAATTTAGGCCACCCATATTGGCTTACTTTGGCTCCAATGTATATTTGGTTTATAATTTTCTTCATCCAGCCTCACAAAGAGGAGAGATTTCTTTTCCCTGTATATCCACTTATATGTCTCTGTGGTGCCGTGGCTCTCTCTGCACTTCAGGTAAGTTTCAGGGAGAAGTATATCTGCCTCATTCTTTTTTACTTATTAAATAATTGCTCACAAAACTTAAGTGCAAATTACAGAATGCTTCCACTTAAGATATTTTATCCATAACATTAAACCTGATATAGATCATATTATTAAAGCTTCTTATATTGATTGCTTAGCTGTTTACCATACTCATATTTGCTGATTACATGTTTGCAGTGTTAATTTGTGTGTTACTTTGCCTCTGTTACCAACAGGAATCCAATTGCAGAATTCCATTCTGTGGCAGAGGTAATGGAACGTCTGCTCTTTGAACTGCTAGATCATAACAAAACTTGCTCAAGAGTTTGGGATCACAGCAGGCAGTTCACAGTATGGGGCACTTTGTAATCCTGGTTGAAAACCTGCCCAGGTCAATTCTCTGGCAGAGCTCATCTTAACTCTGTTTGAACAACTCTGTACTTACGGCTTCAGTACCCTCAGAACCCTGTATTGCCCTCTGCTACCATTTGCAGTTGGCAGAAAAAAAATAATTAGGATGATAGGTTTTTTTCTTAACAGGTTTTTTGAGATATAATTCACAAACCATATAGTTTACCTATTTAAAGGGTATGATTCAGTGGTTTTTAGTCTATTCACAGATGTGTGCAACTGTCACCACAGTCAGTTTTAGATCAAAAAGCCTGTACCCTTTAGCTTTTGTTCCACCATTCCCTTTCCCATATCTCCCCAATCCTAAATAACCATTACTCTACTTTCTATTCCTACAGATTTGCCTATTTTGAACATTTCCTATACATGGAAACATATGATATGTGGTCTTTTGTGACTGGCTTCTCTTAACATAATGTTTTCAAGGTTCATCAATATTAGTTGATAGTTTTGAAAAATAATTTTAATTATAAAAGTAATTGAACTTTATTGCAGATAATTCAGGAAGTGGTAAAAGAAAAATTAGTCCCATTAACCTAACAAAAACTCCTCCCAGTATTTTTGTATATCATATACCAAGGTTTGTTATAGTTGTGATAAGTATACATGTAACTTTATAGCCCTTCTAATTTAATATTATAACATTCTCTGTGGTTATCATTTTAGTAGCTGTAGAATGTTCTGAGTCAGATATAATATATGACATTATTATGTAATATGTAATATATTGACTTGATTTTGTATAATATAATTATTGGATATAATTCATGGTAGAATTTAGGTTGCTCATTTATTCAGTATTATAAATACTGCTAGGATAAATATCTTCATTTAGATATTTGGATTGATTACTCAGGATAGATTCCAAAAAATATGAAAAGGGTTCAAACAGATTTATGCCATTTGTTATATATTGGAAAATTGCTTTCTGAAAGTAGTTTCTGTCTAGAAGGGAAGGAAGGAAGGGAAGAAGTCTGAGTAGAAGGAACTCAAAGACAGCAGAATTCATGCATACATGTTTATATTATATTCATCTAGTTTGCAAAGTCGTTTAGCATATAATTAAGAGCATGTACCTAGTGTTCTGTAAGGGGAATGCTTTTTTCTTATTTGGTCATGAGACCTTTTTTTTGATACTAAAAGCTTTTATAAAAACTTTGATAGTAAAGATTAGTACTCATTGTATCAAAAACAAATTGAAATACTTTGTATGTCAAAACTACCAAAAAACCATTGCTTAAATACTTAAAAAAATAACTTATTAGGACTATAAATGCTAGAAAAATATTCAAATAATTTTCCTGTGCAGCTAGTGAGATTTTATTGTTGGCAAGCCCTCTGCCTGGCCAAGACTGCAGGTAGTCTTAGAGGAGCTGGCTTTTATCTTAGAGTTTGGAGTAGGTACCTCACTGTTTGCAAATGCTCAGATCCCTAATAGAACCTCTTTTTTGGCTTCGCTTTTGATGTTACTGTGATGTCTTGTAATTATGTCTATTCTACAAGTTATATTTTCCTTTATCAGCCAGTTTTCTGTACTTCCAGAAATGTTACCACTTTGTGTTTCAACGATACCGCCTGGAGCACTATACTGTGACGTCGAATTGGCTGGCATTAGGAACTGTCTTCCTGTTTGGGCTTTTGTCGTTTTCTCGCTCTGTGGCACTGTTCAGAGGTAGACCTTCTAAGAATATCTTAACCTACACTGACGAGTCGCTTCCCCTTAGGTTTTACTTGATTCATGATTATATAATACACATTTGGCTTACACTAAGAAGCCATTTCTAAAAAGAACCTGTAGACTTAATATTAATGAGTGGGATGTGACTTCTACATCTTAGGATTGAAGAGAAGATTGAGAATTCCTTTTAGTGTGATTAACTGTACATTTTTTTGTCTATTTTTTTTTCTTTTAATGAATGCTGGTAAATTAAGGAAGCCTTAAACTTAAAATGCAAATTTGGGCTAACTTCTGATTATATTCTTTCTTATAATCATTGTTTGGATCCATAATATTAAAATATTAAAATATGCTCAAGGAAAATGAAGTTAAAAAGGAGAAAGAACAAAGAAAGGGGCAAGAAAGCCAATTATTTTTGGCAGAATAGGGCCTCTGCTGTAACCAGGTTCCCAGCTAGAGAGACATTTTATACATGTAGAGCAGGCTTCGTGCTGGAATAGCTGTGGCCCTTCCTGCCTTTTAAATTTCATGTGGCTTAGAGTGTGACATTAATGTGCAGTATAATTAAAGTCAGAATCTCATCTTACTCATCTCTGGCTCTCACTAACTGTTCTCCCTTCCAGGATATCACGGGCCCCTTGATTTGTATCCAGAATTTTACCGAATTGCTACAGATCCAACCATCCACACTGTCCCAGAAGGCAGACCTGTGAATGTCTGTGTAGGCAAAGAGTGGTATCGCTTTCCCAGCAGCTTCCTTCTTCCCGATAAGTAAGTTGTCCTTTAATTCCCAGGGTTTTAATGAAGGAGTAGATAGAATAGTTCTATGTCAGTGTCTTTGAATTTTTGTTTTCTTTTGGAATTTTCACAGAGAGTTATTGAATTATTTACCACCTTAGAGAGCTGTGAGGCCTGTGTACTGTGTACCTGCCTCCTGTGTTCATTGGGCTCATTAGACTGAGGGCTGGGTCTAGGTAGCCATTCTTTACTGCCCATAACTGCAGGTGTCTGGGAACTTCTGAAAATGCCCTGGGTCCTAGGCTTTTGCCAGTGGCTCTTCCTGGGGATTCATATTTACATTTCTATAATTACCTCATGTTAATCCACTTCTAAAAGCGGTCTAGAAACTCCAGCTAGAAGAGAGAAGACATTTTTGATCCAACAACAGTGAAAGTTCTCCACCATTATATGGACACTGGGGAAGGCTGTGGTTAAAATATCTATACCAGTTTTCCTTATGCTTTCTGTGGTTCTGAGAGCGTAGGCCCTAAAGTTCTTTGCAGGTTGCTTCGTTTGGCCAGAGAAGAGTCCTGTGTAGGTTAAAGGGAAATCTGGTTGAGTCATGTTGCTCCATTTGAGAACTGGCTTCTTTAGCTTAGCTTTACTGGGTAGTAGTTTCTTATGCTTCATAAAGACCCTGTGTCAGTCATTAATTATTAAATTAAAACTTGTTTTTTAAGTGTTGACTGTGGCCTTTGCCTTTTACATTTGAAATAGTTTTATAGATAGAGATATGTTTGAGGGTCACTCTGGAACAAAGTATTTCTCCCATAGTGTGTTCTCAGTGCCATATTTCATTCTTTTTCTCTACACCTGATAATTTGCTTTATTTGATAAGTCTCTCTGCCCACATGGTAATTGACAATAAACATTGGCACTTCTCTGGTTTTTTGATAATATGACCATTTGGTTCTGAATTTCACTGCTAACAGTTGGTGAAATGGGTCAAGAGACAGCTAATTGTAAATTTCTCAATGATTTTGGACTGACTTGTGACCTCTGCCTCTATGCTCCCTGGTTGAGGTTTTAGCAGAAATATTTTTTCTTCAAGATAAATGTTTTTCACATGATTTTTTCTGGCTTGCTTGTTTCAAGTACATTTAGCAATATTATCCCCCTGTGTTTTTCTTATTTTCCTTGTGTTTCTGACAGTTGGCAGCTTCAGTTCATTCCATCAGAGTTCAGAGGTCAGTTACCAAAACCTTTTGCAGAAGGACCACTGGCTACCCGGATTGTTCCTACTGACATGAATGACCAGAATCTAGAAGAGCCATCCAGATATGTAAGGGCTACATTCTCTTCTTGCATCTCTGAAAAGAATTCTATGCCTAAAAGTCTATTGGCATGTATATTAGAGCATTGATAAAATGAGAATTTCTTAGAAAGCAATTTTTAAGGCCGGGTGCTGTGGCTCACACCTGTAATCCCAGCACTTTGGGAGACAGAGGTGGGATAATTGCTTGAGTTCAGAAGTTTGAGACCAGCCTGGGCAACACAGCAAGACTGTATCTCTACAAAAAATTAAAAAATAAGCCAGGTGTGGTGGCTTGCGCCTGTAACCCCAGCCATTCAGAAGGCTGAGGCAGGAGGATCACTTGAGCCCAGGAGTTCAAGGCTGCAGTGGGCCATGATTCCACTACTGCACTCCAGCCTGGGCAACAGTGAGACCCTGTCTTAGAAAAAACTGATACTTTTAGGGTGAGGGGTATAACAGCTTTTGTTGAAAAAGAGTAAACAGTATCACTTTTATTTTCAAATTAACCTCTTTATTTTCTGTGTAAAATGTAACCTCTTTATTTTCTGAATAATTTAATTTCGAAGCTTTTGGGTAGGCTGGAAGTTTTCCTGTGGTAGAAATTTGAACCATTATTCCGAAACTCATATAATTCCTTGGCCTATTAAAATCCTCCATGGGGAACTTTCAAGTTATTAGGTGGACCTTTGACCTAGCTATTAGTATATGCCAATTTTAACAAATGAACAGTGAAGACTGTTTCCGTGGTGAGTGCCAGGGAGCAACCTCTGTCAGGACCATGATCTTCTCCCTACTTGTCTTTACACATTCTGAGATCCCATGCGAATTTTATTTCAGTTCCTTTGAAAGATGACACTTTTGACATTTGATGCCTGTGAAATCTTTGATAATGGAAAAGGTAAGAAGTAATAAACCTAATGCCTCTCTCGGGTCACAAAGACAGTGTAAGATCATTGTCTAGAATGATTAGAAAGCACATTTTTTGACAACCTGTCCGTTAAAGAAATATGTGACAGTTTAAAGGTCAGCTATATTTAATTTACATTTTCTTATGTCATAAGCTTAAAATGTAAAATAGCGAGATGTCCAATTCTCTTTTGAAGCAAACCTGCAGCCACATCTGGTCTTTTGTCGCCCAGATTGGAGCTGGTTAGAGTTCCATGGAGACCCTCAGTGTTTATGAGTGAGATTCTTACTGTATGAGCTTTAACTAGAAGCTATGAAAATGGACATCTTAAAGACACAGCCTTGAGCTGTTCCCTTGTAAGACAGGCATTTCTACCACATGGTTTATATTGGAGCTTGATTCTTTTAATTTAAGGCTCTGATTCCTGTTACAATGGAAATACCCTTGAGCAGGGCAGACTGTTACGGGTCATTTTAATTTTATCTGCAGATATGAGTCTCCTGAGTGCAGGGCATCACTAGAGATGCTGGGCAGTCAAAGGGTGGGAAAATACACTGTCATAGGGGGACAGTATGAATTCAGTGATGTTATCGGAGCTTTGCTTTAGGAAGAGGTAGTAAAAATGGAGTAGTAAAAAAAAGAGCATAGACTTTAGAGTTGAGTAGGCCTGTATTCAAATCTCATCTCTGTTGCTAAACTTGATAACCTTGGGCAAATTAGTTAGCTTCTCTGTTTAATTTCAGTTTCTATCTGTAAAATGGCACCTACTTTGGAATTGTGATATTTGATACTATATCTCTCTTAGCAGAAATGCAATGTTCTTATGCTTGCACAAGTGTTCTTAATCTCATAATGGTATATTAGACAGATTTGAGGTAAAGAAACCCAATCTCTCCCCTTCCTTCTTTTTATTTTTCCCCATCCTGGTAATTTTATTCCAGTGTGTCCAGACTCATCATTGCCTTTTCCACCCCAGTGACTTCGCTTACAGTGGTAACTGTGCCTGAACCACCCTTGTGTCTCTTCTAACACTGTCAAAATTATCTTCCTCTTTGAAGCGAACTATTTAAGTCCATATTGAGCAGACCTTCCTTTAAGTGTCTTCAGTATTTATGTGTGCAGTTCATTTAGCCATTTAATTATCTTGGTCTGATTTAAGTATTTCTGATATCATATCTTTCCCCATCAAATGTGTGAATGCTATGAAGAGAATGACTGCACTTTGTTGCTTTTGTGTTCACCATAGTGTCTCGGACAGTGTCATATACCCAGTAGTTCACTTTTATGTGCTTTCTCAATGGGTAATGAATGTTCATTGTCATTGTGGTAATGTTGTTGAGAGAAAGCTGGCTAGAAAATCTGTAGTGGCCTTTTGCACATTTCTTATGCTTTTATCACTGGTTGTCTTAGTTATATCATATTTCCATATTCTCTGCTGTCAGACAGTGTTGAATTTGATTAAATGACTCTATATGAGCTTTGCCCAAAAGGTGATGATTTTTCAGAATGCCAATAGGAATCACCAAAATGCTGGCTGATAAAAGCAGGGACAAACAAGTGATTTATGTCTGCCGGGTGGCAGCTGTGTCCAGCCCTTTGAATGCGAGGATTTTTTTGCTTATCTGTGGTGACAGAATCATGAAAATTAGGCATGGACCTTTTTTGTTAGTTCATCAGCTTTTGTTAGTGATAGTGTATTTTATGTGTGGCCCGAGACAATTCTTCTTCCAGTGTGGCCCGGGGAAGCCAAAAGGTTGGACATCCATAGATAGTGTCTGTCATTGCACCCATCCACATTCCTGAAGATGAGATTTCCTGCAGAGTTGCCTTTGTGCTCTAGTTTCAGTGATTTTCCTTCATGGGGGTCAGGGGTGGGGTGTTCTCCAAATCCAGTCTACTCACCTTTGACCCTTTGGAAGTAGCAGGGATGTTTGCTGGCTTACTACTCTGTTTTTCATCATCCACTTGACTCTCATTCTGGCTTACTATTCATTCTACATGAACTATGATAAGGGATTTACCTCTTTCAGTTAACTGTTTAAAAAGATATTTGTTTCCTGTGATAGTAAAAGTAATATATATTCATCGTAAAATAATGAAAGTTATAGACAAGAAAAAAATCAATCTGTCATCTCATTACCCAGGTATTACTACTGTTGCCATTTTGGTGTTTCTTTCCTTTCACTTTTTCCCCTTTGCATAGATATGTGCATTTGTATGTAAACAAAAGTCACAATTATTTTTTAAAGGGTGTTACATTTAATTGTTTAAGAAATAGTGCCAGGATCATGACTGTAATGCCCATGACTTTGCCCCATGTATAGAAGGACATGTCGTACAATGGTTATGTTTGTTACTTTTGGCATAAGTCCTGGTTTTTTGTCCAGGTTTATTCAAGAAGACAAAACAATGACATTCTCTATCTTTCTTGTGCATGCTAAATAGCAGCATTATTTTTACCTGCCCTTTAGCTCTGAGTGGCAGGTTTTAGCCAGGCTTTGGCTTCTGTGCTAAGTCCTCCAGCCTGTCCTGTTTCTATTCTGCATGGAAACGAGGAAAGATGTATGACTTTTTTTATTTCACTATTTTCTTTACCTCTGGGCTAATCAATAATTAGGAGTGAATAAGTGTAAAGGTTCTGTGGTTTGTACTGTACCATTATAACTATATTGCCGAAATAATGTTTTTGCTGCATATTTTTTCATGGTAAGTATTGAGTAGCTATTGACTATCTCATTATTGAACAGGAAGCATTTACAGGAGTACATGCCAAGATTGCCAAGATTTTCTGCCAGAATCAAGGTCTAAATTTGGAAGATGCATTCAGTGTCCCTTCTTTAGTTCTTGAAAAATTCAAATTTTTGTTCACTATTTCAAGGTAAATGGTACACTTCCAGCTCCAAATCTGGTATATGATTTAGGAGCTGCCTAGTCAGTGGATGAAACCTTGGAGGAAAAAACAGCTCTTCAGGAGAGAGCTTACAGAAAAAGACTTTTTTCTGACTTTAATGCTTAAGCCGACTTGCTGAAGTTTTCCTGTTTTCTTTCTTTTTTAAGAGACTGTATCTTGTTCTGTCACCCAGGCTGGAGTGCAGTGGTGCCATCATAGCTCACTGTAACCTCAAATTCTTGGGTTCAAGCGATCCTCCCACTTCAAGCTTCTGAGTAGCTAGGACTACAGGCATGCATCACCATGCACAGTTAATAGTTTTATTTTTTCTAGAAACAAAGTCTTGCTGTGTTGTCCAGGCTGGTCTCAAGCGATCCTATTGTTTTGCCCTCTCAAAGAGCTGGGATTATAGGCATGAGCCACCGTGCCTGTCCTCCATCTGTTATCCTTGAAAACATAGATTGGTCACTGATTTTTTTCCTAAGCAGTAATATAGTCAATTCTACTACAATAAGATATAAAATTACAAAAAATTATTATGCAGTAAAAACCACAAAGCTTGTTGGGAAAACGGAGTTAGGGACACGATACTTAAAAAACTTTGTCAGTTGAAAAAGAGATTAGGCCAGGCGCGATGGCTCACGCCTGTAATTCCAACACTTTGGGAGGCCGAGGCCGGTGGATCACGAGGTCAGGAGATTGAGACCATCCTGGCTAACACAGTGAAACCCCATCTCTACTAAAAGTACAAAAAATTAGCCGGGCGTGGTGGCAGGTACCTGTAGTCCCAGCTACTCGGGAGGCTGAGGCAAGAGAATGGCGTTTGTAGTGAGCCGAGATCTTGCCACTGCACTCTAGCCTGGGCAACAGTGCAAGACTCCATCTCAGAAAAAAGAAAAAACAAAAAGATATTAAAAATTAGCCATGCATGATGGCTCATGCCTATAATTCTAGTACTTTGGGAGGCTGAGGCAGGAGGATAGCTTGAGGCCAGGAGTTTGAGACAACATAGGGTGATTCCATCTCTACAAAAATAAATAAATAAATTAGCTAGGTATGGTGGCTCATGCCTGTAGTCCTAACTACTCAAAGGCTGAGGTAGGAGGATTGCTTGAGCCCAGGAGTTTGAGGCTACAGTGAGCTACAATCATGCCACTACACTCCAGCCTGGACAACATAGCAAGACCCTGTCTCTGAAAAAAATAAAAATTAAAAAAAGATTAAAAATGG